TGCCCAAAATCCACTTAGTTACAGAAGATACAAGTCCTATCGACAAACTTAAATATCAAAAGCTGACAGATACGGTAATGCAAAGAATCCTTTTCCATCAGCCTTTGTTCATCTCTGAACTGCTGACACACCCTTGAAAGCATCCCAGCTGTCCTCCTGAGACATCACACAATGAGGAGAGCCAATCACGGAGAGCCCCTCAGCCAAATATTGACAGGGCAATGTTCACCCCTCTCCCCAGCCCCAATACACAGCACACAAAGACGAGTGAAGATAACCCATTCCTAACAGATAACCCAAATACTATGCTTTCATTCAACTTTATTCTTCACACTCAGAAGGCTGAAAATATGCAAACTCACCTTGAGCCTAAGTCCCTGTGAGATAAGTTTAAAAGCCTGTCTCTCCTTGTGCTGTTGATACTCCACTCACGCTGTCACTCAGACTGTGTACTAACAAGCCGACCAGGGCTCTGCCTGTCACTCCAGGCACTCATGAATAATGCATGAGGAAGTGTGATGCCCCACCTCTCTTCAGAGAGACGCCCAATGCACACACGTGCAGTGAATCCTACTAGTCAAGCTCAACTCATGAATATTAATGAAGTCTGATGTTATAAGTAAGCCTCCTAAGGGTCCAGCTCACATGCATTTAATATTAATGAGACACGCCTTTGCTCAAGGGTGGGTGTTAGCATACAGGATTTATGAAAGAAAGAGTAATTTTTCAATTTCAGTGTAACTTAAATTTCAGTGTACTTTAGAAAATAAATAATAAATAAATCAAAATAGTTCTGTATAAATGTTTGTTAAAGGTCAATGGACTGGGAGGACATATGGATTTCACATCAGTGGGGAGCAAACAGCACTATGGCAATCTCTAAATATATAAACTGAGTTCTTATAATAGACATGATCTCTAGCCATAAAGTCGTCAACCCATTAGAGAGAGACAGAGATATGAAATTAAGTGTACAGTAGCATTTTTAGACTGGCCTATAATATAAGTAAAGTGACTTTTTTTATAGTTTACTTTGCAATATGAATGACTATTTTTGTTGTTTAAATACCTAATAACATATTCAAAACTGATTTTGGCACAATAACTAAATATTCATTAGAATTCAACATTTAAATAGATAACTTATTTTTCCCCAATTGATTTTAAGGAAAGAAAGCAAAATAATAGAATTATGTTTGTTTTATATACATACATATACACATATTCATGGTTTAACAAAGAAAAAAAACACCCCTGGAATTCCTTGGGGGTTTAGTTACTCACTCCTGGTTTGGGAATCACTGGATCCGTTTCCATAGTGTGGCACAACGGCACAGTGGTAAACAAGTTTACACAAGCACCGTGAAAAACAACTTTTGAAGCAGCTCAAACGTTTGCCCACTGTCTTAAGGTGTAATGAATATCACTATCATACCATACTTTTCTGAAACTGACAGCTGCATTGGAAATTAAAATGACGACTATTCATGCACAAGTGCTTACAAACAAACATTATATACACTGCAACCAACACTGGAGTGAAGAGCACGTGTCCTGACAGCTGAAGCTGAACTGTGTACATCCACTGTTCTCTCTTGTAACAATGTTACAAAGCTACTACGTAGCATTTAAAAAGAATATAAACTTTCTTTGACTCGCGTGAAAATGACAAAATAGTTGATAAGAGCTCACGTTTAAAAAAAAAAAAAAATCCGTTTGTTCAGAAGTCCAAATGGTAAATTAACTTACATGTCCCTGCAAGAAGGTCCAAGTTATTCGATATAATTCACATAACTCTGTGGGTTTCCATAATCTTGCGTTACACCACAGCCATTTTGTGGGGATGAAGATGATATTAAAATTAACTAGACATGTCCACCCACTGTGCACAAAATACGCCCACTGACTGCAGGACACAAGTGACGCCCACATTTGTCAGACAGACAGACAGACAGACAGATGATAGATAGATAGATAGATAGATAGATAGATAGATAGATAGATAGATAGATAGATAGATAGATAGATAGATAGATAGATAGATAGATAGATAGATAGATAGATAGATAGATAGATAGATAGATAGATAGATAGATAGATAGATAGATAGATAGATAGATAGATAGATAGATAGATAGATAGATAGATAGATAGATAGATAGATAGATAGATAGATAGATAGATAGATAGATAGATAGATAGATAGATAGATAGATAGATAGATAGATAGATAGATAGATAGATAGATAGATAGATAGATAGATAGATAGATTAGATAGATAGATAGATAGATAGATAGATAGATAGATAGATAGATAGATAGATAGATAGATAGATAGATAGATAGATAGATAGATAGATAGATAGATAGATAGGATAGATAGGATAGATTAGATAGATTAGATAGATTAGATAGATAGACAGACAGATAGACAGACAGACAGATAGATCGGTAAAAAACCCATCCATCCATCTATCTTCCTTCCATCAATCCATCCATCTATATATCTATCCATCCATGGTATGATTCTTTTTAAAATATGCATTCAATGTCATATCACTGTGGTAAACCAATTACCTATAAGAAAACCAAAAACACTGAGATGAATACCGAGAAGGAAAATATGTTTTATTTGTTTTGTGTCTGTCATCATGGTACTGGAATTAATTTTTAATGTCAAGTCCTTTATTTAAAGGAAAAATCGTTTTGCTTGGTACAACTTAGAGCACTCATTTCATCAAACAAATCAAATACTGGGTATCACATCTCAATTCATGATTATTACAGAAATAAATGGAGACTTTTTCCCCTCTGGACAATTCTCTAAAACTTGTTTTACAGTGTATATTGGTAAATTACATATTAGGTATTACTTTTCCTTTATCTCTCCACAAACTCATAACATTCCATTAACATCCTTAGTTTTCCTGTACACTGTCAGGTTATGCAACATCACAACCAGTCAGTAGGAATTACAAGGGAAAAGTTAATTCTGCAATATCTGGAAAACTTCAGCTTCGGTTTGCATGTTCACTAAGGGCCACAATCACAAATTTTTGAATGACCACTAGAGACTAACAAGACAATGACAAACAACAGAACTGAGGTGACTGGTGGACAACAAATGCACTGGTTTAAAAAGCATTACAGTAGTTTACAGTTTCACACAGCTTTGGGTCATTCTTTGCAAAATCAGTAGTTACAAACGGTATGAAAATGACTGAACCAAAATTTGACAGTGGCTTCACTATTACTAGGGCCTTAACAAAATCAAGATGTTGATTATCTGTATTTAGATGAACATTAGATGAACAATATCTGAACAAAGAAACAATATTTATACATAAACAGCAATGAACACACATTTAACATCATGGTATGTATGGAGCATGTTTACAAAATAAGCCTATAACACTGGAACACCATCCTGATTTTCCTTTGTTGCTACAATGAATGTAACATTTTGGGCAGATTCAAATTCATCCGTTTAACTTCTATTGAGCACATACTCTGACTGTTGAGTAGCACTGAGGTTTCTTGCATTGCTTCGGCAGTTTTTCTACTTTAGCGCAACCCCGACTTTTTCCTACCAAAAGTGCAAATAGGGAGAGAGTGAAAAATAAATCCTCCCAAAATCTCAGTAGGTAAAAATAATGTCAGTTTAAGACCAAATAAATCACTTTTTTTTTCTTTTTTTTGTACAAACCTCTCACCCTGTTGTAAACCCGTACAAATAAAGTGATTTTTTTGTGCACCTCATGTGATTTGGCACTTTGGACATTTGAAGCAAGTTTTGCATTGAGGTGCTAGTTAGTACGCTGGTTACTGAGGGACATGTTGCCTTAGGGCAGTTAAAACAAATAAGAAAATTCTTTAAGAAAAAGAGACAAAAAGGGCAAAAAGACTTATACAGTATATACCTGTCATGCATTTTTCTGCTTTAAAATGATATGTATTGTGAAAAGCGCTATACAAATAAATGTGAATTGAATTGAACTGTTACCAGCAGCCATTCCAGCAGAGTTGCAGATTTATTAATCTTCCGATTTGCAGTTGCTAAAACTGTTGGTACAGGGCTGTAATGCATCACGGTTTTACATGTCTGGAGTCTAAATACAATAAGACTTTAGAGAAGTGTGCTTACGAAACCACAGGGGGCTGGTTCAGAGCTTTTTCTCCAAATGGAGGCTGGTCGACTTCACGCCCAAAAATAACTGTTTCTTACTGAACTGACTTAGTTAACATGAATACAGTGACACTCACTTTGGTAAACGCTTTAGTCCCTTCAGCCCTTCATTACCAAATAAAAAACTAACATGTAGAGTCGCTCTGACCAAGGGCTAAAAGCTTTGGTATAAAATAAACACAACAACATAATTATCCAAAAGTAGATTCTGGGTGAAATATGAAAAAGTCTGATTTTCCAGACACTTGGATCCAATGAGCGAAGTTCTCCGAGACCTTTTAGGGGGTCAAAGTTCAAGAAATATCCTTATATGATATCACAAAATGTACAGGTTTCTTTAGGGCCCAAGAGTACAGATGGATTCATCGAGAAAAAAAAATTGATTTTGAATAGTTGAAACTGCATGTATACGAGTACTGCATGTATAGTACACCACCAGTCAAAAGTCTGGACACACGGCCTCGTACTTTATTATTACTATTTTCCTCACTTTAGAATAATAGTCATCAAAACTATGAAATAAATGGAAGTATGGGAATTATGAAAAAAATCTAAATGTTAATGAAATCAAAATGATGTGCATCTTGGGATGCAAAACAGACTTTTGGCTGGTACTGTACTTTAATACTGAACCACTAGAAAGTTCTGACTGTTGTTGATGTGACAAGAACATTAGCACTGTTTGCAAAAATAATGTGATCCTTTAGCTCAAAGGGAAAGTTCACCCAAAAATTATATTTTGAAAAATATGGGTAACCAAACGGTTGATGGACCCCATTGACTTCCAGTTTTTTTTCTCTCCATACTATGGAAATCAATGGGATCCATCAACTGATTGGTTAGCCATATTCTTCAAAAATTCTTCTTTTGTGTTCAGCAGAAGAAAAAAATTCATCCAGGTTTGGAACAATTTGAGTTGATGATTTTCATTTTTGGGTGAACTAACCCTTTAACATGCACCCATTGTAAAGATACAGGTTATTGCACTATACCATATATGTCTGTAACATAAAAAACACAAACATGCTGAGATATTGAATGTTGCAGTAGAAACATAGATGGTAGAGGAACATCTGGTCATTTGTCATGGTTTAAAACGAGACCTGTGTGCCCTGAGGAAACCTACCACCCATTAAAAAACAGCATTGATACAACCCTTAAATGCAACCAAAAGCCCTTAATAAAAAATAAAATCAAATAAACAAAAATCACTGACAAAAATGAAGACGCTCCCTTAAGTTTGACCCTTGTTCCCAAAGAAAGCAGCAGATATGAACCGACTAGAAAACCAGAGAAAGAACAAAGAATAAAGATGAAACAATGGCAAGATATAGGAACTTAAGGCCTGCAAGTTTGGCAACACACGACTGGACTTTTTTTTCCTTTACCGCACACATTTCCTTTGAGAAGAACTAAAACAGCACAGAGGTTACTTCGTTTAACTGACAATGGCAGAAACCCTCTAGGTACCGTGGAAGCTGATTCCAGTGCTAGACTTCCTGCACTAATGTAGTGAAGCTATAAGCCAACAATGACTGGTCCGTTCCTATGTAACACGATCCCCATACGAGGCTTCTGGAGCTAAATATACGAAGGGTTTAAGGCAACTTCAGATTAACTGACACTTAAGTCAATTATATACCATATTCTATAATCAATCACCCCATTTTCATACAATCCTATGAAGATTTCCTATTTAAAACCAAAACGAGACCAACTCCAACAGGGCAACTATGGGGAAACCGTCTCTTTTCTCTGTATTGTTGCTGGAGTTTATGCCTTGTTAATGTCACTGTCAGTGTCGTTTGGATCTGAGGGAGGAAATGGCCGCTCTGTGTCTCTCAGTGTTGATATCAGAGTTCCTCACAACGCAGCCCGTCCTGCCCTCATGTGGCTTTCTGCTTCTGGTTGCAGTTGTTGTCAGGAGAGGAGAGACAGTTCTGTTCACTGGCCTGAATGCTGATCGGCTCTTCCTGTTGTTTCCTGCGTCTGGACTTCACAGGTAAAACCAGCGCCAGCAACACGCAGATCAGGTGAATGCAGCAGTACCATGAGCTGAAAAGGGGGAAATGACAGACAGCACATTAGGAATTTTTGTTATGTGATTTTGTCATTTATTGATTATACTTTTGATAGTTTTACATAAATATTTAAATTAACCAAGTGTAAGACATTTACCACTCATAGATTTGAATAAGAATAAAAAAAATCTGAAAATATTATATAATATATACTTTATTTTAATTAAAATATGTGTTGTCAACCAGTGGTTCCCAACCTTTTTTGGTCTAAGATGCCCTTTTTCCCAAGAAAATATTTTAGGGCCCCCCTTCACATTTAATGATATTATCACTCTTGTAAGTTTGCAGTAAGGACGACAAAATATGTTGTTTTCAAACAAATGGTACCTATAACCAGATATGTTTATGCACAAATTATAGCCTATAATATTGAAAATGATAACAAAAACATCAGTAGGCCCTTTGTAAGCCTAGGAGAAGCCTATAAATTGGCCCTATTTGAAATGCAAAAACAAAAAATATTCACACTGGTGTGTAGCAGGTAAAGAAAAGAAAGAATATAGGCTATTACTAAATGACTGCTGTCTGGGGCCTCAATACTTGCATGTTATTTGTGAGGCTTTATCAATGTTGAGGCTTTATTTTTTACGCTTTTGGCGCTATAGCGAGCGATGATAAACTTGCGTTTATTAACAGAATAATGCGTCTTTCGGAAGAGCATTGTAGCCGGAACTACTTCTCTCTGTGTACGTCTATGACGAGTCACGCAGGTACTGGGCTACTCCGCAGCGGCAGCGATCCGAACCAGTGTAAAATAGTCCCAATGTAAACACTTATTATAGGTGTACCATAGTGGTTCAGGATAAGACAAAAACATGGATTGGAAAATGGAATCATGATGAACTCGCTCATTATATAAATTTAGTAAATTTTGAACAGAAAAAAAGTTAAGGACTTTTATTTAATGCTCATTGCTCAAAACTTTTCAAAATATGACGCGACCCCCCACAGAGCTCGCCGAGGCCCCCTTGTGGGCCGCGACCCCCCTGTTGGGAACCGATGTTGTAAACTATAAGCTACGTGGTTATTTTGGGGAGGAGACATTTATGGAAAAAGTTGTGCAATCATTAGGGATAATATAATATATTTTAATATAATAATATGTGTGCTTTATATAACATTTGTTTTATAAATTCAAAAACTTTTGCGAGTACACAAATTAAGATGAAATTAAGCTTTATGCACGAGGCCTCCGATCTTTATGCAGTCGGCTACATTACTTTCCAATAGGATCTTGGATTTCCCAGTGTTGTTGTCACTGAGATGAACTGAGCTCCCCATCTCCTCGACATAATTTACAACTTTCTGGGCTGATCTCCCACAGCCTTCAATCTGATCTGCAGTGGCCAGTCACCAATCTCTTGACCTAATTCTGGCTCTTTAATGAAAATGCTTTATGTGTTCTTCAGGCAGACTCATTTAACAGCCCTGCTCCAGCAAATGACCATCATAGATTTAATTTATCTCAGCAGAAGCTGTGAAATACACGGTCTTCCGCTAGCTCATAAAGTGTCACCAGACTCTGGCCTTTAAAGCCATCTAATGAATGGAGCAAGAGATAAAATCAGCCTCTCATTTTTACCTGTCAGCTTCATGTCTTCCGCTAATAACTCTTGGGTTAGTTGGGTTTACAATGACTCCCTAACTTCTTTAAAGCATTTCACTTCTTTATTAATGATTTATCACCAAAGCTCACTCCTAAACAAACAGGAAGAGCCTGTTGCATATTGCTTATCAGTCAGACGAGGTGAATCTTTAACGGCAGGGGTCGGAGACATCAGGACCTGCCCTGGAGTGCTCACATACTGGTGCAAATGCATTACTGACCTATAAAACTTTAGTGAAGGCCCTACTGCCAGCAGTACAAATGGCACAACAGTGTAACAAATGGCGATCTGCGTGCTGAACCACGTGATCACGTCATAGATGAGCTTGAGTGTGTCTGAGCCCAGGAAGTGTTGCCTCACATTGTGTCTTACCTGAAAAAAAAAAGAGGAAATAGAGTAACTTTAAAATGTTTAAAAGATATAATGAGGACTAAAAACCAATGATCCTTTAAAACATTTAAAACATAAATTATCATTTTTTTTGTCTTCAATCAAGTCTTCAATCAAAAAAGTTTAAAGGCATTAAAGATATTGGAATATTTCTGTACACATGTAATTAGAATATTCCATACGTACTGGCATGCCTTCTTTTCTTGATTTATTGGTTTGTTCTTTTTTTTTTCTTTTTGAGGAAAGATATTAATTCCAAAGATGTTTATTTTATTGTTTAATATTTTACAACTGACTGTATAATTATGTAGCACCCATAATCCCTTTCATTTTGACATGTTCAGATATAAATGAATGGTGGATCTGAATAAGGTATTTACTTGACACAGAATTTACATAAATAAATAAAAAAATAATTTTGTCCAGCAAGGATGCATTTAATTATCATTTACATATTCTAAATAAATGCTGTTCATTTGAACTTATTGATAAAATATATATATATATATATATATATCATGGCTTGCACAAACAAACTATGTAGCACAACAGTTTTCAACATTGAAATCATCATATTAGAATGATTTCTGAAGGATCATGTGACTCTGAAGACTAAAGTAATGATGCTGAAAATTCAGCTTTGATCACAGAAATGAATTGCCATTTAAAATATATTCAAATAGAAAAGAGTTATTTTAAATTGTAATAATATTTAATTGCAATATTCATATTTAGTCGTATTCATATGTCTAGAAACTGGAATATTTGTTTAGATGGGTTATGAAAGTAGATTTCAGTACATATTCAGAATATACAAATACCAAACAGCCCAAATTCTGATCAACGTAAGAATATTCGTATTCATGTACAGTAAGCGCAGTAATGGTTTTGAGTTTAAGAAGTGATAACGGCTCTGGAGTTAACAGTGTATCATGCAGGCAATGCCGCGGCGGGCTGAAGACTTTATATTCAGAGTAGCATTTTAAGATGGACTACTGCAAGTATGTGACCTACTTTTTTCTTTAGTTGGAGAGGCCTTGCTTGATCATTACAGTGTGACAGAGGAATCGTAGTTTTATGCAGCACATGACTAGATGAATAATAACCCTGACTGAGTGCGTAGTCTTTTTGCGGCCCATGCATGCCTCTCCTTCATTATTGGAGAAAACCAACATCCAATTTATTCAAATGTAACAGTATTTTTCCATCAAAACAGCTCCCAAAAAATATAAGCTGCATTCCAAGTATTCATCAGATAAAACCTTTGTGATATATTTCTGACTTTCGACCTTGTTTTGACAGCCCATCTCATGTAAAGAATACTCACTGCCCTTGCAGCCATTGTTACAGCAATGCCCGTGACAAAGGTCAGGTAATACCCCGGGTAAAGTCCGTGCCAGATGGCTGAGAGGAGGAATGTGGCCGCGGTGGGATTGTACGGGCAGCGCTCATAACACACCCTGCGGAGACAAAACAACAAAAGCTTGTTTCTAAGATTTCAGGAAGAAGACAAGCTCAGTCAAGATTCTTCTGTTTTGCAAGCATTCACCTTTTTAACCAAAGGGCTGTCTGAATGTTCCAGTTATCCAAGAACATCTTGAAGCTGGTGGCAAACTGTTGAGGACATAAGGAAAAAGATGATATATTAGGGTTCAGGTCGAGTGAGAAGACCAACGTGGAAGTAGTTAGGGCTGTTACAATATATCATGTCACGATATATATCGCAATACAAAATATTTAGTTATGATATAGAGTCTCAGTCTACATTACATTATCACTGGTGTTTTAGAATGCCAAACATTTATTATAATAATATAATAATGATTTATAATTATTCCTATGATTGAAAATCCATATAGCCTATAAATGTATGCTACAGTATAAATTAAAATTAATATTTCAAAAGTATAGAATAGGAAAATTACAATACTTTTGTCCTAATTTCCCACTTGCAAGAAATAAACACTTGAGCTTTTATTTTGGAGAAAACACCAGATCAACACCATGCTGATCGCGTGAGCAAAGTGCGCACTTTTCTTTAAAGTCCCTGTAAAGTCAAAATTAAGTATGTGTTCTGAGTTTGTCACACCACAGAAAAATGTGTTATTAGCCACCCAGACAAATTTGAATGATAAAAAAAGCCGGCAAGTACATAAAATAAGCTATCAAAATCTTGAAAAAATGAGCAGTATTCTCTGCTCTCAAACGCTGGGGGCGTGTCCACTGTCTGCGCTGAAACCACGCCCACTCGCGGGAAAGCTGCCGACGGTGATATTTGTGATACTGCTTTCGGGACGGGGAGATGAAGGCCGAGGCGGGAGATAGTCGGTTCGGCCCCATTCACCAGTAACAGCGGATTATCAGTGAATCCCAGTTGTCTCCGACGAAAGTTTATAAAACTATCCCGTGTAAAATGATCGCTACAGAGGCGGGTGTTGGTGTTGATCCTCAGCTCTCCATCAAGGTTGGCTCTTCACAAAATTAATCCATCTCTTCTCTTCTTGATGTGATCGTTTTTAGGAAATTTAAATAAAGACACCGATCTGTTTTGTACATGATCGCATCCAGGTAGTAGCCTACGCATTTCCGTGTCGAAGGCATAGCTAGCTGGCAAACTGTAGTTTGTACTGACAGTAAGTCGCGATTGAGTGGCCTCAGTGCGTCATCAAGTAGGGGCGTGTCCAGGAGCTCAGGGGCTCCAGTGCGTCATCGAGCCCCGTTTTAGCCCCGCCCAAAAAATCCGGAAAATAGCAATGGTGAAAAACTGTTAAACGGTCTAACTCCACAATTCAGTAATTCACAGTTCACAGTCTTTGTAATATGTTTTAGCAATACATGTCTAACATTTATAATGGGTTTAGAATTTTTTTTTAGAATTGCCTTTACAGGGACTTTAACCCTCTGGGGACCAGAGTGTTTTTGGGGCCCTTTGGATGTTTTGACATGCTCTGACATTTGTGCTTTTTTCAGTTGCTTATAAACATATTAATGGCACAGGTGAAATTAAACTCTATTTAGCACAAACAGGTCTACCATAATGTGTGAGCAACATGTATGTACATGTTTGTATTTTTGAGAGAATATTGTTTATGCGTGGTTATTGAAAAAACTAAAAAATAAAGTTTTTGAAATAAGGACACAAAAAACATACTAAATATGAGTCCACAAGACTTTTGACTAATGTACGTTGTTGCCTAGAGTTTTTGCTTCAAAATGATCTGAAAATCATCCTTCCTAATCATTCACATAAAACAATAGATTGTTTTAAATTGTGAAAAACATTTTTTTGTTTGCCAAGGCAATATGCGGATGGGCGGAACGGCCCAACCCCTATCATGAATAATTAAGTGGTTCTCAGACAGTGACCCTGCATAATAATGAGCCTTTCATTCAGGGGTGTCACACAAGAAAGAATGTAAGGACAATATATATATATATATATATATATATATATATATATATATATATATATATATTGTCATTGCATTCTTTCTTGTATATATATATATAGCCTACATGTATATATATATATATATATATATTTTGTCATTGCATTCTTTCTTGTATATATATATAACCTACATGTGTATATATATATATATACACACACACACACACACACACACAAACACACATATATATATATATATATATATACAAACAATCAAAATATAAATGAAAGGCAGAATCACATTTTTATTCATACCTGGAAACAAATCCTGGTCAAATGCTATATGGGCCATTCTACAGAATTGGTTCAAAGTTACAGTTGGAAACATCTTGAAAAGAAAATAGTCTTTTCCCATAAATGTCTTATAAAGTATTATTTTTTAAAGTAGACCAATACAATAAAAATAAACCAGTCGCATTTCAAAGTCGCTCGCGAAATGACCGCCAGGTGGCGCAAAGGGACATTTATCAAAACGTAAGTGGGGCTAATGTCAATTAACAACAGTAAGGATGAAATTCTACAAGTTATGGTAATTTACAAATAAGCCTACAACAAACATTTATTTTTAAACAAATATTTTTAAATATGCAACATGCACGTTTAAACAACAAACAATACAATCTGAACCAGCGCTCCTGTATTGAGACATGCAGCGCGTTTCAGTTACGATCCTGGTTCCAGTGGCCTTAATACATTCACGGCTTTTTAAAATGTCACAAAGCGTTTTGAGATGGTTTTGAATGAAATATTGAAGTTTATAATTAGGGTATTTTGGCACACCACGCCGAGTGGCTATGCATTATTCTAAAATCTGGCTTTATTCTGGCATGTTGAATTAGAGTTTGACAAACGCGGCGGCGCGTTCATTTGGATTTATTTTTCTCATAACAGCTAAAAGAACTTACTGCGTAATTGTTGGTCATACAGATAAGATATCATCTTTTAAAACTGTAAAAGGTCTACTTTTATTCATGTAGGTAGGCTAAAGTAGGCCTACACTCACACAGGCTAACGACAAAACGTTTTCTCGCTCATGTGAGAAACAAACGTTTGGGCATTTCTCAGTGAGGAAATTAATAGCCGAGCGGTAGAACTTACGATTCATCATCAAGATGACACGGGTTCAAATCCCGATCAAACATGGTCTACTGCAAATTTTATATTTATTAATGCAGAGAGATTTGTCTAGCTCTAAAACTCTGTTACGCCATACAGTTTTTTGGTTATATTTATAAAATAAAATTACCATGCATTTCCATTTTACACTAGGAACAATAGTATCGAACACAACGACGTTGCATCTGTACCAATCGTACGAGGCTACCAATCGTAATTTCAAAAGCAGTTCTGTAAAAAAAGTAATTTTACATATATAGCCTATATATATATATATTTTTTTTATTAGGCCTATTATTATTATTATTATTTTGATTCCCTACAACCTAGAGTTTTTAAAAACATGGTTTTAAGTAAAGTGTGATTTGCCAGAGGGGACGGGGATTTCCTTCTGGTCTAAACATCCCTGCTTCTGCTGAATTATTTGAATCCCCACACCCCTCCCTCCACAGTAATCAATGCTATAGGCTACTTCACCAATAGACCATATCAAATATAAAATAGAGATATGCAACAAGCACGTTTAAACAACGACAAACAATAAAATCAAAACCAGCGTTTCAGTTGTTCATTAGTTCAAGTGGCCTTAATGCATGCACGGCTTTTCAAAATTTTACAAAGCGTGTTGAGATTATTTTGAATGAAATATTGAAGTTTATAATTAAGTGTTTTGGCAGACCACGCCGAGTGGCCCTATGCATTTTTCTAAAGTCGGGTTTTATTCGAACTTTTGCTAACGACAAAAACAGTTTATCTGTCGTCTCTGTCTCCGGGAACTGCGCGTCACAAAAATGAACCGAAGCCACTTCAGCTCAGTCACTATAAGAAATCGGCTCTGTCTAAAGCCTTTAAATGTCTAAATATTCTGGCTAATAAATGTTATCTGATTATGTAATCCATATGAAAACGAGAGGTACAGAGGATGTACTCAAACATGTAGCCTGTAAGCGCTTCCCAATGAGAAAATGACAAGGGTGAAAATCTCGCTCTAATTAAATGTAGCAGGCTAAATCGCCCTGAATTAAAATGTAAAAACAGATCAAATAATGTATTTGTCGAAATGTTGCGATATTGTTTCATTTAAGTTCATAATTATTCAATACATGTTATTTAATTTAGCAGCATTACCACAAAGCACCGTGGTTCGATATTTATTTGAATAAAAAAATAAAAAATAAAAAACTTAATTCACAAATTGCATGCCTGGTTGAAAGGATCCAAAGATCCATGTAGACTTTAATATTGAGTTGAACATTTTGTTCATGAAAACAAATTAACATGCGTTTTTTTCAGATTATATTTAGTTTTGCTTGGAAAAAGCTGGCCCAAACCAGTTTTATTTCATCAATTACTGAAATAATGAAATATTTAGTAATAAACTTTTATGATAGAAATATCACTAGGCTACATGTAACTAAATCATTTAATTCCTTCATTATCAACACTGTCTAGAATTGCGATTTAAGTGTGAATTGCGACTTCTCTTTGTGTTAAGTCAGCCTCAGACTCCGATAGCCTGTGGGGGGTTGGAGGGACAGTTCAGTGCTGTATCGAGCGCGCAGGACAATAGGCATAGGTGTTAATGTTCCTCTTTCATATGGAGAGCGAGGGAGACTAAATAAACTTGTTAAAAAGAGATTCAGCGCGAGAGAGGCAAAGAAAAACGCATGTTTTAATTTAATTATGTTGCTTTGGACAATTTTCGTTTTGTAGGCCTACTGTTTTAATTGTTTAATATAGCTGTCATTTCTTTGGCAATACAAATTTAAAATGTCGCAAGAATAAGATTAGCCTAGTGTTTCTTATTTTGCATCGCAAAAGAAATAAACTCTAAACCCGATGCAACCCTGTTTTAAATTAAAAAAACTGTCCCGACACTTTATTTAAACCTTGAAATGTTCGAACTTGGTTTCAAACTTAAGTAATTTTAGTGTTCTTTTACATTACACAATAATTTAGCAGACTAAAGACGAGCTTCTTCCTTTTACATTACACAATAATTTAGCAGACTAAAGACGAGCTTCTTCATTTTCATTTTCTGATGCAATCGGCTGACAATCTTCCTTCATCAGTTTTTGTCGTTTGTGCAGCGGCTGCGGTTCTACAGGAATGTAGCAAATTTATGTTGTAATAATAATTAAACAAAACTCTTGACTTTAAATAAGTAAACAGTTATAAACAGTTAGCTATTTAAGCATCAAGAAGGTTAAATATAAACGCTGTTGGCCAACATCGGTTAACAACATGTATGCTACATTGAGATTCGATCTCGAGTCGATTGAAGCTCCTCGAAGCTCGTGTTGTTGCGTTAACCTCTGAGCTATCGTCTGTACGTCTGTAAATGTTTTTATTGCAATGTTTTACTTTTTCATTATTTATTCAATTTCATTTCAGTAGCCTAATTTCAGTATTGTGATTATGAATTATTTTAACTATACGTTTCACTTGTTGAATTCATCTGCTACCAGCTTTCAATCGCTCTGAATCAGTGCGGTGCGGCAGCAGATTACGCATTAGAGAGAATAAACAAACACTTTTCAGAGTCTATGATTGTAGCGCCTCTTGGCGGTAAAAGGCAGAAAATACACCCCAAATTTTACCGCCGCGGTGGAACGGCTGATGTGGGCGTTGTCATGGCTTGCCTCACATTTGCGTTTGAATAGCGCGCGGCCTCCGTGGGCGTGTCAGATTAACGCGTAATGAAGTGTAATGAGCTGGGGAAAAAAAATCTGACAGCACTCTCTTTTCGTACAGATTACATAAACTGAGAATATTTGTTTTTTATATAAATTACATCATTGAAAAGAAGAGAATTCAAGCTTCATAAAGAAAAATCTCTCGTGCCTGTATGACAAGTATTTGCAGAGTTAGAGTTAATTTTTCGGACGTGTTTCAGAATGGACTGCACTGACAGAGAGAAGGCAAAACTCGCATCATGTTTATTTTTCTTTATTTGACAAAAAGCACAAAACTTTGTTTTTATTGTGAGTATACAGAAAAATAATAGACAATTAACAAGATCGATTGATGTATAACACTTATATGTACGATCAAAATCAACAGAGTATTTTAAGTCTATTTTTCTGCTATGTGAAAAAAAAACGGCAAAACGCGCGGGCGCGTTTCTGGTCCCCAGAGGGTTAAATCACGCAGCACAAACAGAATGCCTACTTAAAGTCTTGTGCTGTTTAGTCTAAAAAACGAAATATAATACCGAAAACACTCGACATGTCAACAAAACATAAACATAAGATCTTCCCAAACACATATCAAGCTTATTTAAAAACCTCGAAAGCATAAACACTCATTCAAAGTACCTTTAAAAGGGAGATGTAAATAAACATAACCATAAGTTCCCGCCTCCTCAGCACGAGCTGACTGATAAATCTCTAACACACCAAGAGAGGCGGGACTTAAGGCAGAACAGCCAATCATCAGCCGGTCACACTCAAAGCCGGTGTCATGTTCGAGAGGGAGGGGGAGAGGAGGAGCCGCTGCAAGCGCACACACAGAGCAGCCAGAGAAACGGAGGAGCGACTGTAGTGAGGCGTTTCTGCAAAACTGCGGAAAAACTGCAGAAAAAGTGCGGGTGTTGAACCCTCTCACCAGGAAAAGTGTGGGTGTTAAAACACCCACATCCCCCACGGGTGCGACGCCCCTGTCTCTGGGTCCTGATAATGCCAAATGTCTTACGTTACCAGTAAAAAGAGGCCTACATTATTTTAAATATGTCTAGTCAATGCAAGCATATTGGTCTAAAATAATTCTGTATTTTCAGCTTCAGATCATGAATATTGTTATTCTGGTGTCACCATTGTCCTGTGCATTATGTTACTAGCACAAAGTCCAAGTCTATTCATTTACACCCACAATGTAATACCAAATTTAGAATTTTAAATCAACAGTACTTTTTTTGTTAACCTTTTATATCATATGTCTTTGGAGTATCGCAATAATATCGTATAGAATCGTGACATGAGGGTTTTGTTACACCCCTAGATATAGCATGTTTTGTCAGTCTCGTACCTCAATGTGAAGTATTCTTAAATTCGATATTCTGTCCCATCTTGGGGTGCCATCTGTGTTATATCCATTAAATCCAAAGCCAGCTGCATTGTTGATGGCATCGGCTGTAAAAGAGTGAAAGAATTTAGTAAAAAGATCATCTCTAAGGGAAGATAGTGCTTTGGTTCACAAAGCAGCAGAATTTGGTTGTCAGTCCTGTAGGCTACGTTCACACTGTCAGTTTTTAGGATTGAAAACCACATTTACTTACAGGTGTGAGTCTCGATATGTCCCGTTCAAACAGGAACTTTCAGTAGCGTCTCGAATACTGTCAGTACGAACTTGCAATGTGAGTCAAGCCCGTATTCTCTTACCCGTAACGTCCATAAAACTGAAAAGTCTTATCAATTTTGACACGACAAGTCCAATCGAGCTGCGAATTCATCTGTCAAATCTTCATCCGAAAGCAGCTTTTATATCTGGGTTGAGAGAAGAGCATTTGAGATGCGTGAAGAGCACAGAAGAGACGGGAGCAGCTCTGGTGGAGAACAGTGACTGGATATAAAACCTTCAAATGACACAGCTTATATCTCCATCACTGTAAGTTACCGAAACCACACATGGTAGAAATATAGCCCACGTACGTCTGCAAGATGTCTGTTAAAGATCACTTCATCTGGAAAGCATCTGTTTACTAACATCTGATAGACATCTTTAAGATGTCAGTTTAACATACATTCTAAATCATTACATCTTAAAGACATCTTCTAAACGTCTATTTGACATCTGACAGGAAACGTCCTATAGACGTATTTTAGATGAGCAAACACTCTTAAAAATACGTCTTCCAGATGTAAACATCAAATCAAATACACTTGTGCTATCTGGGATTGCAGATGAGCAAACACTCTAAAAAAAATACGTCTTCCAGATGTAAACACACACATCAAATAGACGTCTCTGTGATGTACGTGTGCTATCAGGGATGCGTTTGTGCAGCTCAGAGCAGCTCTCGCACTGTACAACGTGACGGACCAGTAGTCGTCCAGTCTGGTTCCGTTCACACAGCGTGGGTTTTTCGGGAATGAGGTTGAGAGTCCTGAAAATGTACAGGGTGTGAATTCGGTTATAGAATGCGATTGTCACTCCTGTAAATAACTGACCTGTGTGTGAACGTAACCACATTAAGGACTCACACACAACCGTAGTGTTTGAGTCCTTAATGCAGATGCAGGCTCGACTCCCTTTGCACGTTCATTCAGATAGTATTCTCTAAGTTGCTGAGTGAACGGGACATTTTGAGACTTACACCTACAAATAAATGCAATTATCAATCCCAAAAACTGACAATGTGAATGAATTATCCAATTAGAAACAAGGCAACAATTCAGAAAAAACACCCTTTACGAACACAAGAGGGCAGTATGACGCTGCCTTGAACATGGTCTAGTCCATTACTAGACATGCTGGATTGTATACAACAGTGGTTCTCAACCTCTCCTGCAGGGACCCCCTGACACACCATGTTTCTGTTTTAACCCTGAAATGGCACACCTGATTCAATTAATTAAAGGCTTAATGAGTCATTATTAGAGTAGGAAGTAGGAATTAGTTAATTGATCAATTAGTCAACTACTCATTAAGCCTTCAATTAATTGAATCAGGTGTGCCATTTCAGGGTTAAAACAGAAACATGGTGTGTCAGGGGGTCCCTGCAGGAGAGGTTGAGAACCACTGGTATACAATATACGTTTATACGGTTTGTTTTAAAATGAGAAAAAGTCTGCATTATGCAACAATAAAATAGTCATATTATAACAGTAATGTTGTCCTATGACCTCATTAAACAAACCACTGTTGTCACATGACCTCATTAAAAGTATATTTTTTTAATTATATATACATAAGAAGAGCACATTGCCCATCTGTCCTACTCACCTAACGTCCATACAAAGTAGTACTTGGGGCGTAAAGCCAACATGGAGATGTAGAGGTACAAGACCTGGACGTAGAAGGGGTTAGAGGCCATGAAGGTGTCATCGATGACACGATCTGTAGGGCAGGCGGTGTAGATCACCAAATAAACCATTAGGGACAGAACACAGGTGCACAGTTTCTGGATCACATCCCGCTAGAAGAACAAAACAAACCATTGCAGAGAGTCAGGACACTACAATCTATGAAACTGTCCTCAAAAAGCCCTTGAATAGTGCCAAAGTTGTGCCACAGTAGTTTACATAGTTTAAAAAGCCATTGAAAAGAGTATCGCATTTTAAATACAGATACACTACTGTTCATTAAATTATATGTTTATCTCTGTAAAGCTGCTTTGAAGCAATCCATTGTTAAAAGCGCTATATAAATGAAGTTGACTTGACTCAAAAAGTTTGGGGTTAGTAAGATTGTTCATGTTTTTAAATGTTTATGCTCACTCTTATGCTCACCAAGGCACCATTTGTTTGATTAAAAATACAGTAAATAACAGTAATATTCTAAAATATTATTACAATTTATAATAACCGTTTTCTTTTTAAATATATTTTTTTTTTTAAATCCTGTGATGGCAAAGATTTGTTTTCAATCGTCAGTGTCACATGATTCTTCAGAAACCATTCTATGCTTATTTGGTGCTCAAGAAATATTGATTTTTTTTATCAATGTTGAAAACGGTTGTGCTACTTTTTGTGGAATTTTTCAGGATTCTTTGATGAATCTTTTTTTTTTTTAAATAGTATTTATTTGAAATAGAAATCTTTTGTAACAAATGTCTTTACTATCACTGTTGATGATGGATCATGTAATAATTTCTTTAAAAAAAAAATCTAACTGACGTAACTAACATATGAGCTGTAGTGTGTTATAGGAAATGGCCCTTTTTAACCTTACATAATATTTATTTTTCTTTCTTTATTATGTGTCTATAAACATCAGTCTCATTGTGACAACTTACCCCATATAGTGTGAATGTTCAATAGTTTTTCGTACCCAAGTCTTTAAGATGTTTCTTCACGATCATGACAAAATTATAACTCATATCATTGAAGAGCAGAAAGAGCTAGATGGTGAATTATACGGCAGAGTCTGTGTGACAGGAAATTCATTTGTGAACGGAACTGATTCAACAAATGTTTTTATTGATCTTCGTCTGTTAAGAATGAAAACCATCTATCACTGACGATATTCAATGAGGTCTGAAGCTTTTACTGGAGAGTTGTTTTAAAAGTGTTGCTGGAGAAATCCATTAAACTAAAACCATTGTGAAGCTCCTAAGGAAGAAATGCATATAAAAGCATGTTCATCTCCAGAACTACAGTCAAAACAAACTCTCCCCTCAGCAAAGCCCGAGTAATATGAGCTCCTGTCCAAGAAGATTCTCATTGATTTAAATGACGAAAAAACAAACTGCATAAGACAACAGATAAAGACACTCCAATAGGGATGTTTTTAGCATACGGTACAAAGATTTTCAGTTTATGTCAATTTAAATCAAAAGTCTTGTCAGTGAACCTGATTGTCTTCACTGTCCACACCAAAGTAACACTTCACTCAAAAAGCATTTTCCTTGTAAGGACTGCAAAACTGGTTCTGTCACATTTTCCACCCGGCCATTATATTCCTTTAGATTTGCCATGTATAACTTGGGGTTTGTGTTGTGTTTGAGATATATGTATATGTATATATGACAGCCCAAATGTGATCAAGACTACTAAGAGATGTCTTTAGCGTGCAGCTCTGATTCTAACCCCGATTCAGTCACCAGAGGGAGCAAGAGAACCGAGTCATTACACTACCTTAGGTGAAGGGTCATTCTGCTTGAATTTCCCATTCACTTTGCCGTTTGACTCCAGGTGCTTGGGCTCGTAGCAATGGCCTTCTATAAAGGCTATGTAATCATTATAGGAGCAGGTCGGGCCGGCCAGGATCCCCATAAAGTTACAGTTATAACTCAGATACTCCAGCAGACTGGGCATCTTCCTGTACAGAAAACACAAGGACAGAACAACAATAACCCACCACATAAAGTGAATTAAGCAACAAAGCACACCCAATGTCAAATACCAAAACATGATTTGCTCTGTAGGAGAGATAATAATGAAAAAGGACTAATGTTACCAAATTAATGTTATTAGTATAATGTTTTTTATACATTTATTTAAGCAAGCAGGGAATGTTAAAAATACATTTAATGTTACAAGGCCATTAATTAGTTTATGAAGGCTAAGGGATCATGGGAAGGAGCTCTGAAACTGTAGCTTCACAACAAGCTACAAGTTAAACTTACAAGTTAAGCAACCTTTTTGAAAAAGCTGCGCTACAAGCTAGAAATTATTAACAGTTTAAAGCACCAAAACGGTATGAAAATGACATCAAAATGATTTTGTAATGAGGTTATTTACATAGTGATATATTTTTAATGACATTTTTAAATATTACACATGATATGACAAATAAAAATGAAATAAGGCAAATTAAATAAAAAATATAAATGGCAAATACATTAAAAACTAAATAAATAATATGTATATATTTTTGCAATATTTTTTTATTTATTATCTGGTACAAAATCTGAAACGAAATCTCAGCATTAAACTTACACAGATTAATGTATAACAAATAAAATGAGAAAATTTTGCATAAAAGATAAAAACTAGTGATGAATCACAGTCTCTCACTAAATGTTTCACTACAAAAAAAGGTATAAATGCCAAAATGAGGAACTCTGGGACTCTCTAGAATAGATAAATTGCTTGTTTTTAACTAACAAACGTTGCTAAAAATTAATCTGACACATTTGTCATGAACAGTCAAGTAGCATTTTGTCACTGTGTTTATTACTCCTAAAACAGCTGAACAACAATTTAATAAAATGATATGTAAGAGTTTTACAGCACAATTACAGGAATTTGATTTAATTGCTAATGTCTCAGTGCTTGTAGAATATTTGACCAGCACTTTAGCAATGAACAAACATGACATTAACATTGTGTCATGTTTGAACAAGAATGCAACTCATCCAGTATGTAAACATTGACATATTGGTTAACATTCTGTGACCACATGTCTGTGGTGCAAACATTGTCCAAAACTGCACTCATTAACTGTAGGGTGTGACTTCCGAAACCTCCGAATCCTGACGACTTCCTGTGTGGAAATCGGCTCACGTGATGCGGCGGGAATGTTCAGTTGCTTGGCAACAGCCTTCAGGGCCTGATTGTAAATGATTCTCCAAGTGCTATGCTGCTATTTGGGCAATGCAGAGCCATATTAAACTCAAAATTATTGTTAATAAACAATGCTGTGCACTCTCTGAGGGGACTAACAAGCATTTGATCACTAAGAGGGACGTTATATCTTGAATCTGTCACAATTTTTCTGCCATGATTAGAAGACAAATCTCACTAAATGTCTGTTGTATTCATCATGTGTGTTCTATATATATGTATATATATATATGATATGTGATGTAGCCTATAGAATGCAGTCAGAATGCCCCTAAAATTCAAGATATCAGGGCAAAAATGCATCTGTATGAGTTTTTGTCTCATATTTATATCATGATATAGTTAAGCAATATCACACGAGTAACGAGCACAATATCACACGAGTGCTGTTTTTGTCCCGAATAGCATGAGTGCAAATGTGATTGTTTCAAATGTGATGATTTTTATTTTATACAGTTCAATAAATGAGAAGTTAAAGCTGCAGTCCGCAGTTTTCCCTCTTTGTCGCCATCTCTGTTCGAAATCTGCAATTGCAGTTATTCGCGGAATTATCAACTTTACGTGAGTTGTACTTCGACACCCTCGACACGGCACAGCGCGGATGAACACAATGTTTGAGGAGAGTGTGCCGGTGTGGATCATAGGTGTGGATCATAGACTGTGTGGATACTGGCATTCAGAATCACAGATTATTCTTTTTGGAAGTATGACCAACATAATAATTTTCACCGAAAAATGTCATCTGAACAAGTAAGTAACATCCACTTTTGTTCTGGTTCTGACATTGCAGTAAATCGAGCTGATTAAATCTAAAAATCGCTTATCACGCAAAACTGTGCAAATTATACTTTGTTCTCAAATTGTTAATGTTAACAACGTCAGCATTGCGTGACTACATTTAATGTCCTTCCAATATGTAACCTTGTTTTCACATGGGTCCGGTTGCAGTCTCTTTTTTTCTGTAAGTTAGCCACTCCGAAGTCCAAACGAAGTCTTTTGCATTTTACAGCGGGTGAATCTTTAGTTGTCACTGGTGATTGTCGTTTGAACCTTTCTGGATCCGCCATCAAATTGATGTTTAATTATATCAAGTGCTGTGAGAAAAGGCTATAAATCTCCACCTCCAACATCCTCACACTCATAGCCTACTAGTCGAGACTCCTTCTTTATGTGTACAGATGTGACGTAATGACTCAATATAGCCTTGTAGCCGAGACTCCTCCTTTATGTGTACAGACAGATGTGACGTAATGACGCAAAGACATGCTCGAATATCCCGCGGAAATCCACCAGTACCACTGGAATTAAAAACATTATTACAAGCTTACCACTTTGAATCGAGCTAAGGCAAGCAGATAGTTGGCCAGAACACTGGCTGGTTATGTATTTTCTCAAATATGTATTTTGGATCATTTTTAACCCAAAAAAAGCTACGGACTGCAGCTTTAAATTTTATATTTAATTTATATATTAGCTTTATATTTTAGACACAATATTATTGCTTTTGCTCAATGTTACCAACAACAATACTACCTATAAATGTAGTATGCCCGAGCATAACTGTTGTGCATCTCCGAGCAACTCACAGCGCTGCTCAGTTTCTGAATGAATCCACATTTTGATCGAATCATTTGGGTGAACCAATGATTCAATGGCCCATTCACGAGAGCCATTTTACTTCCTAAATAAATCACCCATTTGAATGAAATGAATGAATGACTGAATGAATGACTGAATGAATTGTTTACTCATTTAGACATTTACCGCAACACCTACTGGCAGTTTTAGTTTCTTAATTAGAGTATCATTTAATTTAAAAAATTGCATTTTATATTTCCATATGAATAAAAAACCCATAAAAGGGATTTCACTCAAAAATGAAAATTCTGTCATCATTTACATTTACCGTTGAAGCCTAAAAGTTGTGTAATAAATTCTCTGTTGAATCAAATAAAAATATATTTTTTTATAAAGCTACTTCTTGTATTGTCTATTTAACCCAACAATGACTTTAAATGACCTTTTGGGGGAACATTTATGTGCGATTAATTCGATTATTAATCGCCACATAGTGTAATTAATTAGATTACATGTACATACATGTACTGTATCTACACCTTTTGACTGTTGTCAGTGTGGGTTTGAAGTTGATTTTCTTTCAAAAGAAGCAGAAAGTAAATGAGTGACCTCATCCCAACCACAAACATACCTTTCACACATACCTGACAGCAAGATACTTCTGATTGGGCTTTAGGTGCTCCTCCCTCTTTATCAAGCCTGTGGGAAAAACACACAAACACAGGACACATCAGACACACCTCGCACAAAACACTGTAATTTAGAAACAGAGATGACAAATACTGTTCTGTTTGATTATAATGCAGCAGTACTGCAGCAGTGTGTGTGTGTGTGTGTGTGTGTGGGGGGGGGGGGTTGAGGCCAGTGGGTTCCTGTGGTTCACACTGACCTGCAGAAACAGCAGTTATACTCTGATACAGCAAATATGTGTGAATGAAGCCCACGTGACGATGCAGAATCACACACACTCATCAAGTACAAACGGAAACGAAATCGCGTAGCTGTGCTTACAAATTCAGCGTTTTTAAAGTTACATGTCAAATACAAAAATGTTTTATTATACAGGCTTAGTGAGAGCAAACATGCAAATAATTAATAAACACAAGTCTCTCTTTCGCTTGCCCTCTCTTTTAATTAATACTTTTATTCAGTAGGAACACAGTTAAGTAATTTACTATGTTACAAAATATTTCTATTTTAAATCAATATTGTTCTAATTAACTTTCTATCCATTAAAGAATCCTAGAATGTTCCTTGAACACTAAATCAGCATATTAGAATGATTTCTGAAGGATCATGTGACACTGAAGACTGGAGTAATGATGCAGAAAATTCAGCTTTGCCATCACAGGAATAAATTAATTCAATGTTTAAGCATAAAATAATAAAATAGAAGATGTAAAATTGCAATAATATCTCACAATATTACTAATAATATGTACGAACTGTACATTTAATCAAATAAATGCAGCCTTAGTGTGTATTGGTGAACATAAGAGACTTCTTTCAAAGCATTCAAAATAATCTACAGAATCTTACAGGTTGTATAAAGGGGTGTAACGGTACATAAGTCACAGTTCGGAATGAGTTCGGTAGAACAGGAAACGTTTCTTTACATTTATTTTGAACAGACAGTAGTGCAAATTACAGTTTGTTCCACCTAGCGGCATTTAGTCCCCTAGTTGGTAAAGTACAGCCTCCTTTAGTGTATTAAGCACTAAGCAGTAAATAGAATACACTCTTGCATAGGCCATATTGTTGTATAGTAGGGCTGATAATTTTTTTTTTTTTTTTTACGGTATTCGGTCACAACCAGCTATAAAACTGAAAAGCATCTCTTGTGTTATAAAAGTACAAAATAAATAGAGTAATGAAAAATAAAACTTCACATAAGAGTATATTAACATGGGGTAAGAATGCACAAAGGATGCACAAAGTTCAATATTAAGCTTTTTCAAGAAACCACGGAAAGATGATTCACCTTTCCACGAGGAGACAGCGAGTGAAGCGGCACCTGAGGATTGCCATTTCCGGGACACGGATATTCCATCACTGGACCACGACACAAATTGACACAATGCCAAATGGTTTTGTCTCATAATAACAGCGGAAACGACTTAAAATAAAATTGGTCTTACAGATAAGAGTAAGACATCATTCAAAATTGTAAAGAGTCTATTTTTATTTGTGTACACTACACTCACAATTAAAAACAAAACATTGAGCTTTCTGCACGTCACAAAAAATGAATCGAAACTTGGCGTGTAGGCTAGTAGCAAGCTCTTGCGTGCCATCTGAACTTAGGTTTGGGTTGGTACAAAGCCCGTCTACGGAAAGCCTGGCCACTCCCTATTAAGTCCTATTGTACCGACTTTTTGGTTGTAGTTCCACCAGAGTTCCACTGGGGGCAATAGTCAGAGTGCAAAATGAATGGGAGTCTATGGGGCTAAACGGCTAAATTGGTCTTTTTCACCCGATTGTCATTGAGAAATTTTAGATTTGAATGGTGGTTTTGCAAGTCCAACATGGGTTATAGATCGAAAGTTGAATGAACGAGTACTTATGTCCTTTCGATTTCTTACAGGTTGAGTTGTTGTTGCCCATAACACGCTAGCATTCTGCTAATGGACGCTGATTGGTCAGTGAAGGACTGATTACGACCAGAGATACCGCTTGATGGCATCGTGGCTCACATGTATTTACCTATTTTTTACAGTCTATGGTATTTACCTGTGTCAGTTGTGTAGTAGATGCCTCGAGAGAAAAGAAAGTGCAGAACGCAAAAGCATAGACATAATAAATACATAGACGCCCTATTGGCCACTTTGGAACGTTGCTGCGATAGTTTTCTTATTGTGGAAAAAGCATTTTCTGTGATTGACCCGATTTTAGCAATAACAAAGATAACTGATGGATCCTTTATCTATGGTAATACGATATGGTACAACTACATTGCAGTGCAAATAGTAAATATAAGATAAAGTGAGAAGTAATAGTAAATAGTTTAGTCAATAAAATAAACAAACAAACAGTACAGCAAATAAAATAGTAATGAAAAGGCTATATAAAATATAGGCTATATAAAATAAAATGACACAACCCTGTCTATTTTTCAGTTTTATTGATCAGTAAGAGACATTATAACAGTATAAGTAGCCTAAAAGGTATAAGAAGAGTTATACAAGACAAGAAATAAAGTAAACGATTCAGACACAGCAGGATACAACGTTAAAATAGCCACAATATAAAGTTATGAAACTTCACTTTGCCGTCAGCCAAAGCGATTTGCCAGGGAACAAGATTAATGAGACCAAAGATCGCCCGTTAGATATACACAAGACGAATTATATGTCATGTTTGACCACAAACGTCAGAAGCACCGAGGAAAGGCTGTTCCAGGCGGGGTGCAGAGCGCTGAGACCCCGGTAAAGGCTTGGATATCACAACTCCGAAAACGTCAGATCAAATTTTTAAATTAGCGCTATCTTTATAAATAAACCACAGATTTGAGCTTTCAACAACTACATTGTCGACTGAAAAACTATTAAAACTACATTTCGTGACACAATAACAGTAGTATTTTTTAATTTCGCGGCTTCTCTCGTCTGTCTATGCGCGTAAGCAACAAAGTGACTGAAGGATTGCCGTAAAGCAGGTCTCTGGTCGTACGATGTGTATGACGTCATTGACATTTTAAAAGACTTTTTAAAGCAAATAAAAAAAATCTAAAAAAAAAATATTTTTAGACTCTAAAAAATCTAACACCCAGCAATGTGTAATTTCTTTGCATCTTCTTTCGAATACAACATTCGAATTACTAGACAAAAAATTATATCCTGAGAAAAGTGGATTTTTAGGGGTATTGCTCCATAGACCTCCATTCATTCTGCACTCCGCCTGTGAGCGCCCTCATATGGACCCAGAGTGGAACTGCAACAGTTCAGAACCCGGAAGTTTAATGTGAGTGGGAGTTCTCCCCATATTAGACTTTCTCTGGTTGGTACATAGATCATCTTCTTCAGCACTTTTTACTGTTGTGGCGTTAGCAAACAATGTTACATGACCTTGCGCGCCCCCTTCTGGATTGGAGTGTGGATTACCTGTGACTGACTGTATTCGTCGTCTGACTGCATGCACCAAACCATGAAGTCCGTACAGTGACGAAGGGACAAATATATGTACAGTTATACCCCTAATACACACACACACACACTACCATTGACTGTAGACGTTGATTAAGAGTCTATGGGCAGTGATGTTGTGTTTTGAAGCACTGAGCTGCTCTGCTCTAGCCTGGAGCGGCGAAGTCTCTCGGGTTAGTGAAGAAAAGAGATCAAGCCATTCTTCATTCATCTCTGTCGATGCACTGACAACTAGATTAGTCACCCTATCAGCTTCTGCAGGTTTTAATGGCTGCTGGGAATTGCATAACCAACAGCAGCATGCCATGTACACACAGACACAATTCCACTCTTCTTCCTTCAGCAAATGCGACAGAATCAACAACACCTCATGATATTTGCTCACCGGGCAGCACTCTCAGATTCTACACAGACCCATTGAAACATACTAGTATTAATAGCACAACGAAATGCATTACATTACAGCAGAACCATGGCCTAGCAGTTAGCACAATAGCTACAGACACATTGTGCTAATGCGGGAGACTCAGGTTTGAATCAGTTCCTATAGAGTGCCTAGAGGGATGACGTATTTTTGTAGGCCAAAATCTGGAAATGAGTCAGCAAGACTCAGCATTTTAGGGGTTTTTGGAATGGGTTTTTGGCTAAATGCCAGAATTAAGCTGTGTGGTTAACACAAGCTCATGATATTTTTACCTGTTTAATTCTACAACATAAAAAACATCAGTAATACCCACTTGTGATTTAAAAAAAAAAAAACTTTTACTTGTCTTGAAAAAGTGGCTAAATGGGACGGGACATTAAACATCATCATGATGAACAGGTAAACTCATCTAGTACGCTTTTACAGAACAGTATGATGTTCATATACACACTTTTGCCTTTTTTTTCTTTTGGTAAAATAGCAGCCTTCTTAGTATTCCTCAATCTATTAATTTTAAACAATATAAGAAAAAAATCGAAGTATCAAAAGCATAGGGTCGCTAGCAACCAGAGATATGTAATAGTGTAATAATGTTTTGCGTGTATTGTGAATTCAATAAAAAAATGTAATGTCTGGCAACTCAAAAAGTGCAATTCACCTGTATTCCTAAAGGAGGCAATGATGATGTAACATTTCACTCATAATTATCGCAGGCATAAAACAAAAAGAATATACAAGTATCATCAGCAAAACTTGAAATGACTCAGCGATTTACTGCGGAGCAAGTGCTGTACGCAATCAATCAAATATTAGTGTCCCTGTCATCTGGTGAAGAATCTGTCAGCGATCAAATTATTGATTTTGAAGACGCTGAAAAGACAGTTTTGAGAATATGGTTGAGATCGCGAATATGAGCCAGATGCTGAATGTACTTGAGCTCTGACAATGACAGCGATGATGGTATAAAACCAAGTTCCAAGTTCCATTCCAAGTTCCAAAAGTTAACGAAATGTGCTTTATTTTACTCTTTTGTAATTGTTATTAAAATATCAAGAGAGTTTTACACTATTGTAGCAGTTAGAGAGCCATCCGCGTTAGATATAGATCCAGGTCGTTAAAGACCCGAATATGTAATAATGATTGACTAAACATTCATGCATATAAGGGTTAAATAAGAGTTGTCAGAAACTGTGGTGGTGTTGAAGTCATGTGACCGGGGTGTAGTTCGTTTATTGAATACGTTTAGCTTTTTACTTCTGGTAATTGTATTTAGCCTTCAAAATTCAAAATAGTTGTGTTACTTTGTAAATTTTTCTCACGACGAAAAAAATGTGTAAGAATTATACATTTTTGATGGTCACAGAGCTTCTTTTCTGCAATAATCCAAAAGCCAATGGAAACATCCTATAGGGATTTTATCGAGGAAACCATGGTGATGCTAATTTCCAGGTTGGTCAACAAAAATACGTCATCACTGCAGCATTCTACACCTCAATATTTCCCTGTCACCTCTGTATTATCTCTAGCATTCGACAAAGGCCAAAAATAAAAGTGTTTTAAAAAAGCCTATATATATATTATTAAGAATAATTAAACATTAGTCTAGCACAAGTCAAAGATCATTTGCCAAATTATCAGAGTGCCACACTTTTAGCCTGAGTTCAGTTCTCCATAAAGTGGAGGAGGGAGGAGATGATTGCATAACTTCATTAAAGCACATGGATTAATATGTCATGTGTGTTGTCTGCAGTGGAGCAGGGCAAGTCATGCGGAGGCCGCTCAGAAGTGCTGGGCTGCTGTTTTGGCCAGGCCAGCTGCTCTGTGAGCAACTGCTTCAGAGAAACGGGATGTGCTCTCTTACTCTTCCCAAAAACCCTGTTAAAGGAAATGTGGTGACTGTGATGCCACTTCTGTTTGACTCTAAAAGTGACTCGGTCACATATCACAGCGATTAGCTCTGTGGTTGACTAAGTATGTAAAAACTATGCTAGGATGGCGTGCAATCTAGTTTACTTATCAGTCGCATTGTTTGCATGTGAGATTTGCCGGTCGTCGATAAAACTAGAGTGGTTTCTTTTGGGTTAATGCCATCATGTGTCCTCTGCTGCTCATTCCTTTGTGCTTAAAGGGATAGTTCACCCAAAAATGAAAAATCTGTCAATATTTACTGATGTCATTCCAAACCCTTTTCTTCTGTGGAACACAAAAGAAGATATTTGCAAGAAAGTCAAAGCTGCTCTTTTCCATCCATTGAAATTGAATGGTGACCAGGGGCTGACAGGTTAGAAAAATTACAAAAAGTACCACATAACTGACTGGCACATACACTATTTTCTATCTCAGACCAAAAAAAAAAGACATTAGCCAACCTTTAGGATCAGCAAAATTGTAAGAATGTTTTTGAAAGAAGTCTTGGTATCACTTTACAATAAGGTTTCATTAGTTAACAAACTAATAATGAACGGAACTTCTACAGCATTTATTAATTTTTGTTCATTTTAATTTCAACATTTACTAATACATTACTAAAATCAAAAGTTGTATTTGTTAACATTAATTAATGCACTGTGAACTAACATGAACAAACAATGAACAGCTGTATTTTTATTAACTAGTGTTACAAAGATACTGCAACAAATGTATTGCTCGTTGTAAGTTAATGTTAGTTAATACATTAACTAATGTTATTGAAGTCTTTTATGCTCACCAAGGCTGGTGATCAAAAATACAGTAAAAAAAAATTCAATTCAGCAAAATGTATTTCTTTTATTATTATTATTTTATTATTATATTATTATAAAGTAAAGTTTTTCTATTTTAATATAGTTTAAAATAATTTATTCCTGCGATGGCAAAGCTGAATTTTCACCATCATTAATCCAGTCTTCAGTGTCACATGATCCTTCAGAAATCATTTAATATGCTGATTTGCTGCTCAAAAAAAAAAAAAAAAAAAAATCAAAAACATTAATTTCTTTAAAAAATAAAATATTACTGACTTTTGAACGGTACTGTATATTCAAATATGGTGTGTCAAAATGACAAAAAAATAAATAAATCATTTTGGATGAACGGTCTCTTTCCCAAACTCAGAGGAAGTTCAAATCACCTTCATTCTCCTTTATCAATGATCCAGATCATGCAAAAATGATGTGGTGATGCAGCACAATTAGTATCTCATTAAACAGATTTCACCAAGCTGCATAATAAGCGCTATATTGTGTTGGATGAGGTAAGTGTGGTCTGAAGCGCAACATCCAGCTGGCATCCCTAACTACTTTGGCCCACTCACTAGAGTGCAGCGCCAGCAATGGTACAAATCAATGGCATACGAGGACGTGGTGTAGCAGCAGGGTTTAACAGCCCTTATGTAATTCCTAGAGCCGCTAACATGGGCATAGATAGAAACAATAGAGCTGTTGAAAGATTTCAGGTAGAAATCATGCCAGTTATTCGCTATCGAGGCTTTGCAACCATGAAGATGAGAATGGGATTAATAAAACTGTTACAAACCATCATGAATCTCAAACGCCAAACTTGTGATCTTCTGTGTGATGACCATCATGGGCCTGGAGACAGAGGGGAAAAGGAATGTGTGTATGTGAGATCCTGTTTGCACCTGAAATTGAGTCTGTTGGATCCACATGTACGTGAGAGCTTCCACTTCTATCAAACCAAGCTATTCGACATTTATTATGTATACAGCTGTATTGACCACATCTCCTCACAGCTTCTCAAGGGTTGTGTTCACCTTGGTGTAAATAATTCTGATCAGCTTTGATCCTGAGATAAAACTAGTTCCGGATCATTATGAGGGTGCATGTAGACGCACCGGTGTGTATATAGTAGTAACATGTTGTATATGGTTGTAAGACTGCATATTTGATCTCCCTCATCTGAAGTTGAATGAGCATAGACATTTCAAAATAAGAGTCCCAGTCTATTTCACGCATTGTGTTCAATTCCCACCCAGTTATTATTTGGTTACACAAACTGTATGTAATTTAATTTTCATTTCATTTAAAGTAAACTATTTTAGCTTCTGTCTGTGATGCCCTGTCACAGGAAGGAAAGACTAAGAACATTATTTGAGGCATATTATTAAATATATAGATTTTACTAGTATCAGAGTTAATATATATTTAACAAAAACTATTTAAAAAAAAAACTCTTTTCTTGAAATAAATAAATATAAAAAAAAGTTTAGTTTCATTAGGCCTAACCTTATGTACCAAACTAAAACTGAAATAAAAATGAATAAAAACGACAGATTAAAAAAAAAAAAAAAAAAAAAAAAAAAAAAAAAGACAACAGATTTACTAAAACTTAACTAAAATGAAAATGAAAGCAGAATTAAATTGACTTCAAAATATTAACAAATGATATTTGGAGATATTTGTTACAGTGTGTTATATATATATATATATATATATATATATGCAGAAATAGTTAGTTGTCTCAGAGCCCCTAAAGTTTCTAAATGCGCTCCTACATTTTTCAACTTAGGAGCACATGTGCTCCTTGGGAAAAAAGTAAGCGTCAAGCCCTGCCGATATACTTTGTCTCGCTGTAGTTAACTTGTATATTTAATTGGAGGAGAGCTGGAGTCTCGATGTAGTGTGGCATAAAGCCTAATGCAAGCATATTTTATTGAGATTATTGCAAAGCAGAACACAGTGATTTTTTCTCTCCTTATGTTCAGTCTATAGGTAGCGAGAATTTTGATGTGCATACACGAGGCATCTTTTCACAACAGACACGGACACATACTTGAAAACCCCAGTACTTATAGTTTTGAATATTTTAATTTATATTTAATTTCCATTTTATTTTTAAACAGTCTTTTGAATTTAGTTTAGTTTTTGTTAGTTGTCACTACATCACTGTTAGGCTTTAATATGTTCAGTATTTTCTAATTTCAATTTATTTTGTTTTTATTAGAATTGTACTATAGTTTTAGTATTTATATAAATGATACACTACTGTTTTGGGTAATTTTGGGTAGTAAAAGTTTTTAATTGTTTTTGAAAGAAGTATCTTATGCTCACCAATGTATTTATTTGATCAAAAAATACAGTAAAACTGTAATGTTTTTGTAATTTACAATAGCTGTTTTCTATTTTTGTGGATTTACATTTTTTATTTTTTTCAGGATTCTTTAATGAATCGAAATTACAAAAGGACAGCATTTACTTAAAATAGAAAAGTCTTTACTGTCACTTTTGATTAATTTAATCAATTTCGTACTTGCAGAATAAAAGCTTTCTTTCAACATAAAAAAAAATTCTTACTGACCCCAAACTCGTGATGAGTAGTGTAATCTGAACTAAACTAGTATAACTATATATAATTAATATATAACTATATCATTTAATTTCTCAGCACAGGCAAGTGTTATTGCTATATAGTGAGAGTATCGTCTTTAATGCAGGAACATTTTACAATATATGTATACAAAACTAAAATGAATTTATTTATTTATTGAAATAAAATTTTTGGTAATTTTGGAAACATTAAAATGTATTTTAGTTAGTTTTTTCCCCATTAATTTTGGAAAACATTTTTTTTTTTCAGTTAGCAAAAAAGTGATAATGCAGTGCTAAAATAACTTACCCAGTGAAGTCAGCTGAGTACATGCCATAGTCAAATACAAAGATTCTGGTGACCTGGCAGAAACTGAGATATCCCAGCGTAACCACAAAGCAGTATCTAAGGAGAAGAAGGCAAACGAGGGGAAGAGTTAAAAAAAAAAGAGGCTATATTTGGTAAAACATACAACATACATATTAGGCCTACTTCATTTCAGCAGTGTGTATATTGTGGGCACTATGCAAATATTAAGTATGCAAAAAGTGCAGTATACATAAACCACACAGTGTGAAAATAATTTGCACTAAATTGTCCTTCCATTTTCTGCTTGACAAATAAACCAAGTCATTTTAACATCTCTTTATTGGCTTACTTTTGGCAGTCTAAACAAATGAGTAATTTTCATAGAAGATGGATTTAAAAAAAAAAACTGATTTAATTTAATTTATGAGATTAGAAATGAATGTCTCTCACTGAATTAAACATGTGGAAAATTAAACATGTCATGTGATAATATATTTCTGTTTGAAATGTTTATCGTTGTAAAACTAATTTACATCTATTTATAAGTGTACAGTATGTTTGGTGCAATATTCAGTAAACAGCAAATTCATCTGAATAGACAAACAATTTTCATTGGAAAGACATTGTCCAATTACAAACATTTCTTGTGGTTCAATTATTTCCTTACTATATAATGTTTTGATCAATTTACTTCACTTAATAAAAAGACAGAGAGACCAACAAAACTAGTCAAATAATACATTTTAAAATGCATTCCATTAGTATTTTACTCTTATTTTGTTGGTTAATTTCAATTTAGCAATTGGCGCCATTATCTTAAAATAGCCCGAGCCCCCACTTGGCCGCATATAGCTCACATCTGATATCTGATATTATACAAGCTAATTCATGCAAGTTATTTGCATACTACAACAAATTTGTGAGTGGAGAGAGAGTGATCAAGGCTTCTCTGTTACATCGCTGCCTAAAGCGCCATGTTAGAACAACACTATCAGACTCGTGCCATAACTTCAATTCGGCTTATTAACATCCTCCCACAATCCGATAAGGATCGCTCTTCTATTCAGCACTGAAAGTGATCAAAGACCCACTGATGTTCAGCAGGGCCTCAGTTTGAGGCAAAAGCCTCCCACTATCAGCGCACACAGCTGCAGAACGTTTGGTATGCTACATTCAGGTTTCTGACTCAAGCAGCCAAGTCCCCCGATTCCTCACTAGGAAACAGTTGGCAAATTCTTGGCAATGTAGTTTCTGTCTTTGCCTCAAACAAAGCCAGTTTAACATGTCTACAGTCCCACTCGCAGTATTCAGAGGCGGTGCCTGCTCGGTCTCAACACTAGGCCCTTCATCAGAGCTCTGAGCAGCACTGTGTGTACTAAGAAGACCTTCTTCTGTTTAAGCATTCTGTAGGATGATTGTGTGGAGGTTGCCTTCTAGTTGCACAGGGAACATTGTACAGTTAGAAGATGAGCTGTGATTTTCAATGTAGAATGGTGGTGGGTCAGTCAACGGGACATATGCATCCCAAATCCAAAGTATAGTATGCCAAACATGTCTGGACTGTATACCATTTTTAGTGGATTTTAGTGGAAGTGTGCATCCTTGAATGTTTTTGTTTTGTTTGTTTAGCTAATATTGGCCACAACCGCAAAAAAAAAGTTTGTGATGTTTCTCTATCAACTTGTTCAATAATAATGAATTTTAAGATAATGGTTGTATATGTGCAAGCAAACGACTGTTTACATCCTTCAAAATTATGGTATACTGCCTCCGAAAGCAAGATAGATAACACGTTTATTGCTTTTACTTCTGCAAAGTCATTTATTATATACGGAAATTATTATATACAGTAGTTGCGTTTCCATTACCCTTCAAATTGCGCAAATTGAAATTGCGAAATGAAAATACGGCCAATGGAAGTTTCGCAAAAACTACCATATATATAACAAAAAAGTTTTTTTCCACTTGCATGAGGTCGTTTTTCAGGTCGCCTTGCGTACTTAAAGGTCTATCATTCTTTAAAGATGGGGCCGTATGTTTGGCCAGAAAATAAGAGTTCTTTATTAAACTTATAAAAGAATACTGGATTCTAAACAAAAAAGAAATGCCACAATTTATCAAGACCTCGAAGCATGATTTTTGGAATGACTTATCGCAAGAGGAAAAAATGGGTTAATGGAAACGCCGTCATTCAGAAATAGTTCTTTATCGACATTTAGAAAATATCTCACAAGTTTTGCGCAAATTTGTAATGGAAACCCAGCTAGTGGATTCTCCTACTTTTCTTAGTGATATTTAGCGCCAGTTTATCAGGAAGTGACGATTTTGTTCTCTCTGACTCACTGGATGGAAACAGTGCTTTATTCGCAAATGTTTTATGCGATATTCCAAGTTTGCGCATAGGTTAAATTAGCAACTTTGGATGCAAACATACATAGCTAGTAAAGCTCTGTTTAGTTCCGGTCTCCATGAGGCCTCCCCGTGGGTTCTGATTGGTCGGCTGGACCTCAGCAACAATCCAGAAACAAATATACAGTGAGCCCTTCCCAGTCAATATATTGAAAGTGCAAACTTTCTAACACTAAATCAGTGACAAAAAAGTGATCTGTGCACACAAATCTTTTTACAGTCATACAATGGCTTTCAAGAAAACCCAAAACAAAAACAAACCAAAGCCAAAAAAAAATACCATTGCATTTAAATAAGAAATTTTCATTTTCATTTAAAACAGCATTTTAATTAAATATACAGCCATCTCTATTCAAAAATGCGTTGGCTCCTTGTATGAAAAAAGTTGTGACTTCAATTCCAAAAGTGCCATGTTGTGCATAACGTGCATCACCTATTGATTTTTTTCAGCCTCTTTCCCTTGACACAGTCTCCACTGGAAGGCATAAACTGCCTTTCAAGGACTCACACTCTACAGTAGCCCTTCTATAAATATACATTTACACTATTCATCTCCAATAAGACAGACAAGAGCTCCAGTGACCCATGATGAGGGCAGCTCTCTCTCTCACTCTCATTTCCAGTTCCATTTTCATTTGGCAATGACCACCGCACTAAGTCTCAAGATGATAATTTACAAAGGTGAGACAAGGGTGAGGTGTTATCAGCAGCTGTTAGATGGGGGTCTTGTCTACGTCATAAAACCCTTCTCTCACATGCCTGAGTGGAAACATATTAAAGCAATAAATCACATCATAAACGTGTCATTTTTAATGAAACGGGCGACAGTCACACCATTGTGCAATAGAACAAGACCTGAGAGAACGACCTTTCACCAAAACTCTTTAACTCTCAGAGCAGAAGTTAAAGGCACATGGTTATAGAGAGTAGTCTTGTGCTGTGTATGACTTCACATATTTCACGAGGCTGAACGTGAAAGCAAGACCTCTGTATAAAAGCTTACCATGCTCCATTTAATCTGTATAGATTCTTAAACTCTTAAACCTGAGTTTGACACTCAAAGAATCAAGCTGTCAATACATAGATATCCATTAGAGCTCTAAAAACATATACACACACCAACAGTGTTTTAATCGCTGAAGGTCACCAAGTGGTCTAGTTGTCTGCATTGCCTGCCTGTGTTTTTAATTATTTGCATAAAAAACCCTGAAATTTGCTGCTACACCAACTATCACTGTCACTCAAGTTGCCTCAAATCATATGGCCTGTTTAGACCTAGTCACTTCATGCATTTTCTATGATAGGATAGCTCTCCAAAACGTGAAAAGACCAGATGTAAATGCCCTCTGAAACGCTTCGAGATGGATTTAAACCCGATCACTCAAACAAACCACATCCTGAAACGAAACTGGAAACACTTGTGGTTGTTGAAGCCACATGTATTATTTTTAAACCTCCCAAAATGGTAAAAAATTCTTTAATTCTTTGTATTTGAAAGCTGATAACCGATATATTGGCTGACAATAAATCTAAATCCAAATTATATAATTTTTGAGAGCCTGATTACAAAACCAAAAGTTTCACCAATAAAAGCCATGTCCCAAGCACAAAATTTGAATGTTCTCATAATAGGTTTATGTAGCCTATATGACAGACTTGTACTGCGCATGTTGCACTTAACTGTATTTTACTTTTTTGAAGTGATTCCAATCATATTTCAAGCAATTCAAAACCATCACGGCGAGCAGTGCGCATCTGAAGTGTCTCAGCTGAAGGAAATAATCCATTATTATCAGCTTTAATATCGGCCAAATTTTCTGTTCGGGTTGCCGTCAACGGGCAACCAGATGAGACAAAGGGCTCACGACCGATCTAAATTATCCAGATAGAAATGTATTGGCTATTTTCAATGGGAAAGTGCCAAAGCAACAATCGCTCGGCAAGATTGCCCAGCAACATTGCTCAAAAAGTTGCCCTGTGTATCATCACCTTTAAAGATGCAGTAGGAAAAAGCCTGTCGACAGTTTGTGGTGCAAGAAAATAAAAATCCACATAAATTCGTCAAAAAAGACCAACCAGTTATTATGAATCCAAGGGTGCACATACTTTTTACACATGTATGTTTCTTTCTAGATATTATTAAAAACATCACATTATGGAAATAAAATGGGTTGAACTTGCGAATGCCATTTCGTGCTGGCTTTAATGCCAGAGAAGAGAGAGTATGGAGTATTCAGTGTTTTTATATAAAGAAGTGTTTGCATTATCACGTCAGCAGCTAATCTATGCCAGTTTTATTGCTATTCTGACTTAATGACTCCAGGTTATAAACCAGTTAAGTAATGTGAGCCTCGCAAAATAGATACTTCTGCTTTTTCTGCAAACACACACACAAACATAGTGGTTTTCCACCCCTGTTTTTCAATTTCCCTTCATCCTTTGCTTTGCCCTCTCATCTCCCTTGAGCAGTGGAGCATGGCATCACTCTATTACTGACTGATCGTCTCCTGGAGTTTCAAAAGGTCTGTTCTGTAGCGCTGCATCCCTAATGCGCCCTCTGTTCTCACTGCAGGGAACAGGGCCAGTCTATGTCTCTATCATCCCCACAGACTCCTGCACAAGTTCATCTTATCAGTCTTCAACCATTTACAAGTTGATGCTTTTTACCTTCTTAGAAGAAAACAACAAACAGCCAAGAGAAAGGAAAAGTGACTTGTTTCATAATCGGTGCAAACTACAGATTCCTGTGACCTAAAAGATTATCTTACATCTAATATGAAACGTTCACGGTTCAAAATACGTTGTTTCAAGGTCTAGTTTAGCAATGAAAAGTCCACTAGGTTAAAGGAATGTACTGGGTTCAATCTATTAGACTGTAAAAATCACAAACCATTCAGGAGTGTCCTTTTGTGGTGGAATAACTGTTGTAGGTGGAAAGATCTGGTTATTTGCAACAGACATAATTCACATGGAGTCTGCTTCACATAAACCATAAAGCAGTTACACAGAAAAAGAAAAAAAATCTTGTTAAATTTACGATAAAAAAGCTGCGGTGGTTGCCAGAAATTCACCGTAAAAAACTGTTATGGGATGGTACTAGTGCCTGTATATTTTACAACTTTACAATTTTATTAAGTGATATAATGTTAATATACCTATCTACTTGAACAAATCTGTTTTTTTTTTACCTTAAAATATACCAACACAAAACGCTATCAGGGTAACACAGGTGAAATACAATAAACATGTAATAACATCAACTAACAATTAACTAATTACTGATAACAAAAATAAGAAGAAACTAAATTAATTATATATTTTTTTAAATCATACGTGATGTGTCATGCAGGGACTTCTGGGAATGTCTCTTTACTGTTTTTCACAGTAAATACGATAATTCACAGTTGAAAAAAACAAATATGACAGTGTTTTAGAGTAAAATTACATATAATACAATGTTTTTAGTTTTTCTCCATATATGGTAAGAAAACTTAGTTAACCAATTAACAGGTTTTTACTAGGGATGCTCCGATCAGGATTTTTGCAGCCGATACCGATAGCCGATTTCTTGTCATGGTGATCGGCCGATACCGATCCCGATACCGATGCTTAATATAAGACAAAGATAAATACAAACAAAATGGAGCAGTCTGATGCAGCCCACAAGGTTTAATTAAACATTGTCCAATAGTAAACTTTGGAGGACAAAATAAACATTTAAATACCTAAAATAGAGAGTCTGATGTAACTTAAACCTGGTCTAATACAAGTCTAAGCAGGACAAAATTAATTTAATTAGATTAATTATTAATTTAATTAGAACAAATTGGAGTAGTTTGATGCTACTCATTAGAAGGGATGGGCGTTTCAAGCAAAAATAATATTCGAAGATCTGGGTATTATTCGCTTATTATTCGAAAATCGCACCCCTCCCCCATATGCACGCACACATGCATATATAGGCCACACACATGAGAAAAGCGGAGTGGTGTGACGTTTAAATATAACTTAAAAACATAAATATACGTTTCATATTTATGTTTTATAGTAGGCTAATATAGTGTTCTTTTTTTTTTTTTAAATGTCATATATGTTGATTATATTAAAAGGGAACCGCATGAGATGAGTAAGATAGGATCATAAGATGCCCAATATATCGGAAAACATTTGGAATGGGTCAGACATGATTTTGACCACTTAATTAAGTTTTGTTTTGTAGAAAGCCATTCTTTAAAGTGAATTTCGTTTTGTAAAAATTGTATCTTAATTTCAAACTATGTTTCATCAACCATTTGCCTGGATTTAATAAATAATAAGCAAAATATAGCAGACAATATAATCAGGACACGGACACGCCGGCGCGTGAACTGGAGCGCATCTCATAAGTGAACCGAACCTCAACTTGCCTCACATACCTGAGAACGTATAGTTCAGGCTTGAAATGTCTACTTTAAAAAAAACCAACTATTTAAATCGATAATAAATGGGCTACTCTCTGCTTATGTAGGCTAATCCGTATGAAGTGTGCATTTCTCTCTATAAGCGCGTTCACTATGCGAAGATGGCGTCAACATCGCCAACTGTATCTTTGCAGTTTATTAATAAACAATTAAAATGCATCATGCTGCATAAACATTACTTTTGCCAGTTCTTTGTGGCAAGCTTTATGCATGCGCTTGATATGCAGAATATAGGCAATGATGACGCTCATTATGGTTTAGTATTTTCTCCCATATATATTTAATTAAATTAATATAGATATGCGATTAGACTAATGGCTTAAATGAACTACTACTAGTCGACTAGAAAAAAACTTTAGTTGTGCACGGGCAGCCCAACTTATTTAACATATTTTCTAACCAGCATGTCACTGCGGGCGTTCTGAGCGAATGGCGCTGTGGACTGAGCGAGCGAAGCATACTCGTCTTCAAAAAGGCGCTCTCTCTGGAGGACAATGATCCTCCATGTGAGATTCCTTTGAAACATACACGGCAAATAGCAAATTTTTTTCATTGTTTCTTGACACATCATAGCAGCCTAATACCACACCGGCGATGACATGACTGCCAAATCATTTAAGTCCCCACGCATCATATAGGCTACCTCCTCACGTTTTGACGTCATCAAATTGTGATCGGTTTGTGAGATCGGCCAAGTTGAGTGAGTACCGATCGAGTCATAAAATGTGATGATCGGCCGATACCGATCTCCGGCCGATCGATCGGAGCATCCCTAGTTTTTACTTTAGGTTTTCATTATTTTCTTTAAAAATTACAAATATTTTTTACAGTGTACGTCATGTCATGTTTTGTACTCTTGTGCAAAAATCTGATTAATGGATTTTCATGTTTATGACATTAACTTTACAAAGACATGTTTGGGAAGTAGGAATGCACTGATATTAAAATTCTAGCCAATACCAATAAGCCAATAATATTTTTTTTAATGTCACAGCCGATAACCGATAAATGGCAGATATAAAAAAACTACAAATGAATTTGAGCACCACCACCAATATTACAGTATGAAAAATTCAAATTAAGATTTACTAATATATATATATACATTTAACAGTATTAAGTTTTTTTTAATGTTTTGTTTTTAAAGATGAACTCTTAATGAGTGTTAGCGGCAAAGGGAAACCAAATTAAAAATAAGGGAAATGACAATGCACAAATAAATAACCAGTATTGATGTTTGCTGGTTTTTATTTATTTATTTTTTTTAGAGGAAAATGTGAGGTGGTGTATTGAAGATACAGAACTATACCTGCTACGTGTTTAGTACACGTGGACAAACTCCTTGTATGATAATTATGCAGTTATGCAAACATCTGGGCAGGAGGCCAACGGTCAACTTGTCATAATGACCTTTTTTTTTTACTAGCCGAAGTTCACAAACCAGGCCCGAAGGCCTTTTGGCTGGATGTTCAGATGTATGTGCCAAGGTCAGGTGACCTAGCACAGTTATCTAAATCTTTCAGATATGGGGAAATCAGATGTCCCTGTTATTCAGAAATATGCAATGAAATCATATGATTGTGTCAGTATTTTCTTTGTTTTTGTTGCCATGACCTAGGATTCAGTACACACTACACGTTAGTGTTGATGGTTGCTTTTTAATAATAATCACTATTGCGCAGCACTGGTTATTTCTGGTACCGCCCTGAGCAGCAGTCCAAACCACATGTTCCAGCACATCCATTCATCTGACCTCAGATCAGAGGTAGCCGTCACTCAGCATACAACTTGTGGAAACAATGATGAAAACAGACGCTCACTCGTTGCCCCGGGGCTGTTTACTCAAAAGAATGAAAAGGATGTGTGAGAGCAGCATGGATTACTCTTCAACAAACCAAACGCAGGGTTAGACGAATAACTCGGGCATATTGTGAACTGGATGGCTTGATGACTGCCATGACACTGTTGAGAACACTGTTCCAATGCCACAAATAATACATTTTTGATTTGACATGAGGTTGTTCCTGTTACTGAAATCAGGGCCGTTTGATGGTGTAGGGAATTGTGAGGTCGGTACTCACTTGTGCATGTGTTCCACACCTGTGAAGATCATAACGCCGTAAGCAAGACCGCTCTGTACCAGAAAATGTAAGGCATACCTGAAATGAAGCACAAGGAGAAGAGGATACCAATAAAAGAAGTATGGACTCAAAATGGTATTAAACTGTGACAGTCAGTTTGAACAGGACAGAATTGTGTTTCTGAATAACATAAGACAGACAATCCCATATAGCCCATGTACAAATCCCAGTAGATCAGCAGTTTATGAAGAACTCAGACCAGCCCGTACCAACCACCATGCCACGTTCAAAGTCACTTAAAATCACCTTTCTTCCCCATTCTGTTGTTTGAACTTCAGCAGATCGTCTTGACGTTGTATACATGCCTAAATGCATTGAGTTGCTGCCATGTGATTGGCTGTTTAGATATTTGCGTTAACATATATGCTGTGCCATCCAGGGTGTTTTCCTAGCATCCCCATGATGACCCTAAGCATGACAAGTGGCCAAAACAGGCTTATAACTGAGTTGCTGAATGATTTCATTGCTACTTTCACTAAATCAAGATAACAACTTAATCAATTGTTTACATTGTCTACGCTTTGTTCATTCAAATAGAAGTGTTATAGCTTTGTCATGTCGCTTGCTTGCAGTGCATGTTTGGCTTTACGTTGTCTATTGCAAGAGGCGCGACATCTAGCAAATCCAAAATAACTCTTAATTTGTGTGCACAACATGTCTAACAATGCTGAACTGCTGCAAAAGAAAAGCATGTTGCAAACAGAAAGTTGTCACAAAATTTAGTAAACCTGGCTGTAATCGACGCTATCCAACAGAAGAAACAGATGGGGTGACTATATTTACATTTAGTAATTTAGCAGAAGCTTTTATCCAAAGCGACTTACAACTGAGGACTAAACCAAGCGAGTCATCGTGAAGAGGCAAAAACAACGCAAGAAGTGCTCAAAATACAAAATTTCATCCATCTGGAATTGTTTGGATTGTGACAAAAGTGGGCGGTCTATACCAGAATAGAGGAAGAACTATCTGAACTACTGGTACACAATGCCTATGCTATGTAATGGGAAAAAAAGAGAATTTTCTTTAAGGGGTGAGGCAAGAAATTGCATTTCGTTGAAACAAAAGATGAGCATTTTACTTTGCAATAACATGAGCTGATGAATGTCACACAACAACACCCGGAACTCACATTAAAGGGATACTCCCCTTTTTTTGGAAATAGGCTCATTTTACAACTCCCCCAGAGTTAAACTGTTGAGTTTTACCGTTTTTGAATCCATTCAGCCGATCTCCGGTTCTGGCGGTACCACTTTTAGCATAGCTTAGCATACATCATTGAAGTGGACAAGACCATTAGCATTTCTAAAAGACCAAAGTGTTTCGATATTTTTCCTATTTAAAACTTGACTCTTCTGTAGTTACATCGTGCACTAAGACCGACAGAAAATGTAAAGTTGCGATTTTCTAGGCTGATATGGCTAGGAATTATACTCTCATTCCTGCGTAATAATCAAGAAACTTTACTGCCGTACCATGAGTGCAGCAGGCGTAATGATATGACGCAGCGCCTGAAAATAGGCTACCGTCCGTCAACACAACGGAACTATTTTCAGGCACTGCGTCATATCATTACGCCTGCTGCACTCATGGTACGGCAGTAAACCATGGAAAAATAGGAAAAATATCGAAACTCTTTGGTCATTTTTTTTTTTTTTTAGAAATGCTAATGGTCTTGTCCACTTCAATGATGTATGCTAAGCTATGCTAAAAGTGGTACCGCCAGAACCGGAGATCGGCTGAATGGATTCAAAAACGGTAAAACTCAACAGTTTAACTCTGGGGGAGTTGTAAAATGAGCCTATTTCCAAAAAAAGTGGAGTATCCCTTTAAGAAAGTAAATGAACTGAATGAGCCTCTGCTGGACAGAGAAGGGTTCAGAGAAAAACAAAATCTCTGAGTATGTGACGATAGCTCATCATCTCAACAGAACAGCTGACGGTCTAACCAGGAAGGGAAAGCCCCCTCACACACTGCCACACAAATAGAGAAGACATTTGCTTGATCAAATTGGTACTTACTACAATATGAGGAAAAATAAACGCATTGCAAAAATGCGCAAGTACCACACATTAGCGTCTGCTATATCTTGGTAAACTTCTTCTTGCTGTCATGTTCATTGCATAAGGACTTCCTGTTTGATTTGGGTAGACTGACCTTTGCTCAGAGAGCTGTAATAGACTGCTCCATATGGTCAAATGTTTTTCAATAAATGCCAGCTTGAGCATGACTCCCACTAATGCAACTCGTCACACTCTCAGCTTGTGACAAAAAAAGTGTTTTGATTATGTCAATTTGGTCTGTCTTTATTTTAGTTAATGTTGAAACACAATCCGAGGTCTAAAAGTCGTATGCTTTTACTTTGCACTTTTTTTATTTAGTACAAAATACAGTAAGTACAATTGTTTTGTATTACAGGTTTTCTGAAATGTTGTGTTGAAAAATGCAAATTTATTATTTAATTCATTAAATAAACATGCACTAATTTCATACAATATCAGAACAGAAATGTAAACATTGGATAAACCAGGTTCAAAATTATGTTTCATCTGTTGACCTAGAGTTAAAGGTTTTTACAGAGGGAATCTCTTTTTATTGTTCTATAATCAGAAAATACTTAAAATTCCAAACTCCAACATTTTGATCCCAAATATATCTTAAATCTTTAAACTAAGGTATGAAGAGTATTTTTGTTCGTCATTTTGAAATCAAACATTTGAAAGGCTTTGGAAAAGGTGGTTGATTTTCCTTATTCTTTTCATTAACTGAAAAGTAACATTAAACTATTAAAGTCAACATTGAAAATACAAATAGTACCAATGCATACACAATTACACGTTTTACCTGTTAACTAACAACTCCTTCCATGCATTTAAATGCAGTTATGTTAAACTCAAATTTAATTTGAACTAACAAGCACAGCAGGTAAGTTGCATTTATGGTTCAGTCCTGACAAACCAAACCAAAACAGGCCTTCTAAAAAATTTAACAGAGTTCTTACAATAACGGTGTGTTGTTATAAACGTCTACAGATGAATAAAAAGAGGCCTACAAACTGCTCCATCAGAGCATCTCTCAGTTTCCACCATGCAGTGCACAGCGTAGCTTCTGAGGAGACTCTGGTCTTCTGCCAGTATAGTCTCATTATAAACTGAATGACTCGCTAACCGACTATCAATGACGCTGCTATGGATCAAATGTGGATGGATCTGAGATATATGAGGGATGAAGCAGACAAACACTCACCAGCCAAAGCAGAAGAGGGCCAAATAGAAGCCCAGCAGGGTGGCAACTACATGCCGGATGAAGGGACTCGTCTTACTAGGGTGCAGGTAGAGTCTGAACCAGAAAGCCGTGACCAGGGCGAACAGCTGGCACACCACAAAGTTCACCTAATGAGAGACACAGAAGGTTCATTTTGAGGTGCTCGAGAAGAAAATTCAGAAAGCAACACAACTTTCAATTAAACTCATCTTAATACAGACCACATAAATTAGAAAGGTTCTTCAGATAAGCCTAGGTCCGTGACTTCAAAAAAATCGACTAAAATACACTATAGGATAGGAAAATCAAAACTAAGCTCCATTTAATCTTCAAATGTATGTCTTCAAGTACATCTGGATTATGGCTTTAATGCTGAATTTAAACTATGTTGACATTAACACAAGATAAATGCCTTTGTGAAGAGGATAGTCATGTCAGTGGATGAGAAGAGGGAATTACATCATAACAAGCTTGAAATGTTCTCTTGATTCAGAACAGGGGGTCACTGTTTGGCTGCCGAGTTTCAGCAGTTAGTTCCTGCTAGTAAATGCCGTAACTACAAAATTACGTGGCGAAAAAAAGCATCTTCCTTCATCAAAGGCACATACTACTTAATATACAGTATAGCAAAATAAGTACTTTCAGAAACCCTTCCATATATCCTCTCAGCCTTTGCAAGACACAATGTCCATTGAAATCATTGGATTTTATGACAAGAAAGTTTGGATTTTTCTTCATGCAATCACTCTGCAAAACTAATTCTAAGTGATAAGAAAAGAAACAACATGTAGTTCACAAACCAATGAAAGTGTTTTATCTTGCATGATGTCACTATTACTGTACAAAGTCATGCCTGGACCTGAACGTTACGGTCTTCTGTGCTTTATACGGATGATCTCATAAAGTATGTACAGTTGGCCGCTGAGTTGAATCGTAGTCTCTCGCTCTTTCTTTAATTTCAGGAATATTTTACTTACGCAAGATAACCCTTTTTTGTGAGCTATCCAATAACTTCATGAGTGCAATAGTCAAAACAATACAGCACCTGTATGGTGGCACACTACACAGATACAGAAATACTAGAGCTCAAGATCCTGATGATAAATGAGGTATATGCAAAGCAGTGAAATAAGCATTTAAATCCAAACCCTTCCTAAGCATCGCCAGTATTAATCAGGAGTTTCTCACTGATCGTGAGCAGCAAGTGGGTGAGAGCAGAGATATGCTTGTGATTCACCTAATGGACAGTTTATATCAGCGCTTAAGCTGCTTTTCTGCCATTATGAAAGCTGATGAGGCGCTGGTTATGTTTGGGATGGGATGATAGATGCATACAGCTTACTGCAATACTGGCCACGTACACTATAAAGTTTCACAGTTAAATACGGGCATGAATCCCCTAAATTATCGTTGTGTGTTTGTATGGAACGTGACTTAACAATAGTCTGTGTGCTATAGGTATTCACTTTGGCTATCGTGACCAAAGTAATATTACAGGCAGCGACCAAAGCCTTTTTTAATCATCAGTATCGACAGAGGTGTTGTGTTTTGTATTGAAAGGCTGCTTCACAGAGTGCCCTTTGGGCTGGGCTCGTAGCGCAATCCAGTTTATGGAGCTGTTAAAATATGGGTCACGATATTTTTGACTAGTAAAGCTTTTGGATCTTTTTAGGTTTATTTTGGGCTTGATCTTGTTTGTGTTTTTTCTGGCAACACGAATGAGTCAAGGCTCAAACCTCTTTCCCTGTTTGCACCGCACGCACAGAAGACACATCTCTGATGCGCGTTTAAATACGTCACTGCCAACTAGTGGCTCAGGTCGGTTCAGGATAATATACCATGAAAATAAACTATTTAAAAAATATAGTATGCTACATTGTTGACACATGACCTCACATTGAACAGGGTTCCCACACCTGGGTTAACTTTAAATTCAAGGACCTTTCAATGACTTATCAGGTCCAATAGCCTCAAATTAATGGACTTAATGTCCAACAACAAATGGTGAGGTACCATCATAGTAGTTTCGTGCGCGCGTGAAAGTCATGGCAACGTACAACACAAAGTACCTCATGCGGGAAACCCTTAACGTAACGTGTATACACACGTAACTAACGTAAATCAAGCAAGCTAGTATGCATATGTAACGGAGGCCAGCTAGTAGTTGCTGTCCGAGTAAACCTCACTCCTCTGATCTCAATAGGCGCTCTAGCGACAGATGCTAGAGGCTACAGTCTTTAGCCTACTTGTTAGAGCGCCTGACTCTCATGCCGGAGACCCGGGTTCGAAGCCTGCTCGGAGCGGGTCGAGTGGGACCCGGGTGGAGGGGTTACATTGGTGCCGTGACCCGGATGGGAGTGAGGTTTAGGGGGGTGAGTGTAACGGAGGCCAGCTAGTAGTTGCTGTGCGAGTAAACCTCACTCCTCTAGCATCTGTCGCTAGAGCGCCTATTGAGATCAGAGGCTGCAGTCTTTAGCCTCCTTGTTAGAGCGCCTGACTCTCATGCCGGAGACCCAGGTTCGAGGCCCACTCGGAGCGGGTCGAATTGGACCCGAGTGGAGGGGTTACACATAGGCCACGAAGTGTTGGCAAAATAACACATTAGCGGACCGGAGAGAATAATATGGATTTTTTTCCAGAAAACTTCTTGCACAAAATAAATTCAAGCACTTTCAAGGACCTGTATCTATGCATGTTTATTTTCAAAAACTGTCCAGGGCCTTGAATTCTTTTCTCCAGATTCACAAACTTTCAAGGATTTCAAGGACCCGTGGGAACCCTGATTGAATCACAATGTGATCACAATCTCACATGTTTAATTCAGAAAGTTTTGACCAGTTATCACATAGGGGATGTACACATTAATATCTTTTTATTAACTTTTATCTAAAAATGTCTCCTGTTTTGGCGAATAATGAGTCAAGGAGATTTCGGTTCATTCATCACTCTTGAAATGGGAGGTCGATTCAAGAGCATTGCATTGTGTGATTAAACTACAGCACATTTTGCTGAATATAGAAGGTCATACAGGTATTGTTTTTATAATTCATACAGAAAATATGCATAGTGTGCAAAATATACATATTGCAAAAACAAACCAAGTAGCTATTTTTAATATATCCTCAGCTGTGGAGCAACAGACACATTATTTCTCCCTGCTGCTCAGTGGCCTTCTGTCTAGCTCTCTTGAGTGTGTGTGTGTGTCTGAGAGAGAAAGAGAGAGAGTGTGTGTGAGATAAAGCAAGAGTGAGGTCATCTTCATGTGCCTGCTGCCATGCAAATGAGCTCCAGCTCAACAAAGATACAATCCGTCACCAGCTTAAAATAACTCCGCCTTCCCGACTCCGCACTGTTTTATTTATCGCTCACTCTCCATTCATTTTACTCTAGTTTAGTTCACTTATTCATTTTTACTGGTGATCGATTATGCTACTTGTTTTGTTTTCAAAACAAGCTTTCATTTCAATGGCAGATCATCTGACGCATTTGTACTGTAGACTGACAATTAAAAAAATAGAGACAGTGTGTTGCAAAAATCATATCCCCCTGCAGAATCCTCAACAAGGCATTTCATTGGCAGAGTAACTATATTCAGTGCCCGATTAGAAATGACAGAACATTGCTTTGCGGAGTCTAAATGGTTGAATTAAACATTTAATTCTCTTTTTGTGTGTTTTCAGTTAGGAAGCTAACAGCTATAGCCTTTGGAAATGTATATCACTAATATCACCATAGCTCAAAATAGTCAAATTAAATATTGTTTAGTTTCACAGTTAACAAGCTGCAGCTTTGCCAGTAGGAAAAAGTGACAAAAATAAAATGTTCCTCGCTATTCTAAAAACGGCAGAAATTGTGCTGGAAAGACGACAATAGCATTGGGTTTAGCATGAAACCTTGGGGAATGTACTGAAAGTTCAATCAGAAGGCTTTTAGTTTGTTTTCACTGGTCTATTTCTGTCATTCCCTTGAGACACCTCTCATCCCCTCGGTCCCCTTCAGGTGCTTGTCACTTTCGTTCTGAATTTCCCTGTCTGAAATGTTCCAACTGCTGGAAACGTGTCCTGCCTTGAAAAGAAACCTCACGCATCTCCTTAACGTTACATGCAGTTATACTGTACAGAAACAGCCATTGTTTTCCAGTCTGCTTAAACAGGTCAACAGTGGGCCATAAACAATAGCTCATTGGCTGCTTCTTTGTATCCCCCACGCTTTCTGTATCACAGGAAGCATTGTTATTGGCAGGATAAATCTGCTGCACACACACACACACACACACACACACACACACACACACACACACACACACACACACACACACACACACACACACACACACACACACACACACACACACACACACACACACACACACACACACACACACACACACACACACACACACACACACACACACAACTGTAAGTAATTGTGGTTAGGCAGATTTATTGAGATGATGCGCCTTTGCCATTTTTCTATTGTTACATCTCTAAGAGCTCTTTCATAATTGAAATGACATAAACCGGCGTTTGTGGTCACTTTAGAGCCATTAAAAAAGAACCACAGAATTACAATCAATTAATCTGGGACATTAAATTCAAATTAAACATAACCTTTCTTTGCTCTAAAAGTCACACGAAACAGAGAAGCGCTTGGTGGACAATGTTTCTCTCGTTTTATCAACCAGAAAGCAAAAGCGAAAACACTAAAGTTATAGCAATATATGATGAAACAAACATTGACAGTGTTTCCTGAATGATGCAAATGAGCATACGCATCACCTAAAAGCATTAAGCAAATAAATCGTTCAGTACTGTTTAAGCATCAGCAAATCAAGCCAGTAAATAAACAATCAACTTCACATTGTTTCTCATAGCATGAATATCATGTTATTTAAATTGTGATTAAATTATAGAAAGTGATCAAAGAACGCTGACAATTTGTGAATCTGTCAATCACACAGCGCAAGTTTATCTGGACAATTGCCAAAACTCCCGTTACGTAATCAATGACACTGTTACACTGCACAACGAAGCTCTTACTGTATTTACATTGTGTTTGCATTGTTATTTATGATGAAAGCATTTGTGAGAATGCAGAAATCATGTTGCAATGAGGAGATGATTGCATT